CAACATACCATATACCATGGAAGAGACTCCATTCTAAAATGACGCCATAAATACCTCGACAAGGATTGCATATAAACCCAGATGACATGACCTAGTGGGTATAATATACCCCGTCCCTTATTTACATCCCTTTCTTTTTTTTTTAAAAAAAAAAAAAAAAACAAATTGCACAAAGCAGGGTGTAGTCAAGGTCATACTCCGGACACGGTAATCAAAAGAACTGCCGGCTACGGCGACAACCAAAATGGATCGGAACGATCGAGAATCTCTGCGGGGACGATGTGGTACTCCGGAGTCAGACACGTCTACCTATTACGAGAGAGGGTTGGGGCCTCGGCAGAAAGAGGTGGGACTCCCTAGGTATCAGTCCTCGAGTGCTAATCGTCGATCTTCCGTGTTTCGGGTCTATGGGGAAAATCGGGGCTTTCGAGAATGATTCCCGGATATTCTGCACTGTTTACCTCAGAAGACCACCGTCCTCGGAGCCGTTTGTTTGTGGTCTTTTTTTCTTCCCGCTTGCTTTCCGCCGGGTCCCGAATTCGTTCCTTGGATAGCCCAGATCGGGGTGTAGAATATCACAGGGCGAGCTTGAATTGATTGTTCATGGTGGGGCTAGTGACATCTGATCAACATAGAAAACACATCATCACAGTAAAATTTGGACGGTGGAAAAGTATGAGGTATTCGTGGAGTAGAGGGGATGCTGACGTTTGGGCTCTTAGGCTTGGGATTTTGTCTGGGTATCTACTACATGTCGTACAAATAATCGCTGATGCTTGATCAACCTCCAGTGGCTCCTCCTGTAGGCGCTGCTCGAGTCGCGGCGGGGGTGGGCGTCAAAGGTACCTCCCCGCTAAGAAAAAGTCCGTCAACCCTCTTCTCTGTAGTAGAGTCGGCCTGACCCTCAGCCTTGTCGGTCGGCAGTGTTACTGTGCCTGGACCGGGCTTCCCTGTAAATCGCTCGGGTACGCCACGGGCAGCCTCAGCCGGCCCGACAAAGCAGCCAAGCATCGAGCTCCAGATATACCCTTCCGACAGCAGACGGCGAATTTGGCCATATGCGTATGAATTGGCGTAAGGAAGAGCGGTTTCTGGATCGCGATAACGCGATGGCAATGAGGTGATGACGCAAAGCGAGGACGAGATTTCTATAACTTGATGTTAGCCTTACACATTCCTATCAACGAATCAAAATGATGCGTACTTGTCAAGCGAGCTGGCTTTTTGGCGTTGAAGTACATGCTGTATTTGCGATGGTTGGCGGTCGCATAATCAAAGTTTTCCAAGATTGTAAGACAGCGCCCCGTGTGCTCAATCACTGGAGGGGGTTCTGGAGTCTCTGGTTGTGCTGGTTCCTTCACCATTCCATTCGATAATTGTGATTCGGACTGTAATGAGGATGGTTGGTTTAGGCTCTGAGCTGGGGCATTTTCGGGCACCGTGGCTTGACCGGGTACTGCAGTGGCTGGCAGGGCTTGAAGGGCCAGTGGAATTCCAGAGCTGGTAGTCGTGACTGGTTCAATTGGTCGAGAGTCATCCACTGGCGGTACTTCTTGTACAGTCGTCCCAGTAGCATGTGATATAGGGATCTCTATCGAAGTCGGTTGGGCACTGGCAACTTGCGGAGGGGCCAAGCCTGTCTGGCCCTTTGATCCTGGACCTTCTTGATTAACCTTGGTAGAACATGTGGCCGCTGCAGCCGCATGAGGTTGGTCAATATCCATAACATCGTCGTGCTTGGCGGGGGACCGCTCAGACAATTTTTGGGCAGAGCCATTGCCCGCAGAATCTAATGCATGACGAGACGCTGGAATTTCCACAGCAAACATCCTTCTCTCCGATTTAGACGACTCCGAGGGTTGCCTTTCAGCGGTGATAGACTGATCTTGCACAGAGAGTGGTATTGGTGTATTTGCGTCAAAATCTAGGACCTTCGTTTCTACAGCCTCATTCTTGCTCTGCTCGGCATGTGACGTGATTGACTTCGTCTCCGAAGAGGTTGCATCTGGTTGGTTGACGTTCGCCCCAGAAGACACCACGAGGGTGTCTGCATTTTCTGTAGTCGAAGCTGCGGGTGGCTTATTTTCAGGCGTCTTTTGGTCTAATGTGAAGGAGGGGGGAGGGGGGGCTGGATTTGCTGGACCAGTAACTGCATGGAAGTCTGGTGGTGGTTGTGATGAGCCTGTGGTAGAGGAAGAGGCAGGGGCGGGTCCAACGGTGGTTGTTGGCTCCAAGGCCTTTGACTCCGCCGCAGCCTTCTCTTTATCTTCTTTCTCTTTCTTTCTCTTCCTCGATTCTTCTTTATCTGCCTTTGGTTTGATGTCGATTTTGCCCACCCGTGTGAGACGCCCATTCGTCCATGTAGCCACACCACTCCAGTAGGAAATCACCGGACCATCGAGACGGCGATTTTGTAGTGCTTCGATCCTCGCTCGTCTTTCGTCCGCTTTTCTTTTTTCCGACAGCTCCCAGCGGTTCAAACTTTTGCTGTTAAGCCGTTCCACTCTTGCAGCCTCAGCAAGATGATCTTCCTGGGTCATCTCTTTCGGCTTCAGATGCGCTTTCCGCTTCTCTGCCTCCTTCATTGTAGCGATGATGCGGACTCGTTTTTCCTGGCTGTCCTTGAGACGAGCATGCGTAAGCTCCTTATTGACCATAGTCTGTCGACGCGATGACTGCCGAGTAGGCCCATCCTCCACCGTGGGAATCCACGAGATGCGCTCTGACTTTTTCTTCGGACGAGGAGCGGCGGACATGGCGGATGGGGCGGTCGGGTCGATTTTGACGCGTTTGCGCAAGGTCTGAAACCGGAGATCATTCAGGGCTCTGCGCTTCTTGCGCTCGTCCTTTTGTAGTTTCTGTTCGCCCTCGTAATCGTTCTGCGCGTTCGGTCCCTGGTCTTCATCTTCGTCCGACGATTCAAGCAAGTCATCCTCTGCGTCGGGGTCTGCCACGTCCGCAAAATCATTATCGTCTTCGACTTCTTCAAAAAGAAGAGCCAAGTCATCATCGGCGGCAGCTTCAAGGAGGGCAGACATATGCAGTCCTGCGGTACTTCGTTTCGCGCGCCCTCTGACCAATGACTCCACGGGCATCTCCTCTTCCTCCCAAAACTGAGTCCCAGATGAGGGAGCTTCTTCCACAACGTCGGCCATGGTGCTACTGGCGCCTTAAAATGGACGATGAAGCATCGGACACGAGAAGGGGACGCGCGCGCGACAAACTATGCTTGAATCGCGAGTCAATGGTCAGCACCAATTTGGAAAACTATAGCATATAGGTTATGAACTCTGCCACACGATTAAATATGGGCTGTTGAAGTGATGGAAAGATACCGCAAGTTGGCAAGCTAAGTGAGTGGCTTGAACAGATAGTGGCGAGAAAGAGAAGTTGATGCCTCAGGCGAACAGAAATGATCTAACCAATGGTCTTCACCAACGTGTTTACACCGACCTTCAAGTAACGACACAAGGTTTCTCTAATAGTTCATTTGGTCATAACCTCCATTGCATAGTGACTGGTACCACTCCTACCGTTATTCTAAAAGTGACAATCCACCTTTTCATAGACCACGATGCCATGAATCATGGCATCTCCCGGTTTTTCCGCCAACCGCCCCAAAATACTTCTAGAGGCTTTGTGAACACGGTGAAGTTCCAGAATGCACCCTGGATTTCTTCAAGCTAGCAATCGACAGATAGACGTTACAACATGTTATAGTTGCACCTTTAACACAGCCACCTTGACCAACCCGAGAGGGTTCTCGGCCTGACGCCTGTGATAGGGAACGAGGACGAGGACACGTACCTGACCCGTATCCCTTGCGCGCACTCAAAACGCCGTCTTTTGTCGTTTCAACCCCTCAATCAATTCTCCTTACATGACCGATTGCATCATATCTCATACATTAGGACGATATTCTCACATTTCTGATGAGCCTGCTTCCTCCATGTCCTGTCAAGGACTCAAGCGTCGAGACATGACGCATTGGAATGCGGGGCTTTTTTTTGGGTTTCCACTCTTGTCTCTCTTTTCGTGGTCATGCCATGAGCGCTTTTCTTCCGAGTGAACTTTGAATTGGGCTTTTCTGGAGGGATTGCTGGGCCTTCAAAGGCCTCGCATCTGTACTATACCTCTACGCCCCTTATAGATTCGTTGATACCTTACCATGTCTAGGTCTGCCTGAATGATGAAGTCGATGGGGCTGAGCCATTGCCAAAACGCCTGGAGGAACTACCAATTCCTCATCTTTTGTTCTCTTTTGAATGTTCGGATGGTAGAACATACACAACACGCAGTTAAGTACTTGTAGATGTTCGTCTAGGTAGTGATGCATCTTGAACATGTTAGAACTCGATTGAGAATGAAACCAATCATATAGTTATAGCGTAAATTGATCCAAATACATTCAATTAACCATATTCCATGTTTTAAACCCCAAAATTCATCTGAATCAACAATGGAATTGTGGGTGAAGCTGAACGAGGGCCCTCCACCAACCACAGCAATCTTCCTCGGGCATCCGGCCAGCTCCCCAACATCTCTTCTCCTTCTTTTCCTCTCCCCTTCTGATCCTCCCTTTGACTTTTTCCTCACCTCTCTTTTTTTATTTCTTTGGCTTTCTGCATTCTTATGGTGAATTCAACTCTCGGTTAGCGTCGAAGACACTCTCGGAGCGCAACACTAACTCACCTCCAGCCATCTCGATCCCTTTGGACCCGGATCATCCTTTCCATCTTTTACTTCTCACCTGACGCACTTCGTGCCAGACCATCCTTGTGAATTTGCCGTGTTTTTGAGCATTTGACGACTATAGAAAAGGACTAGTTGTTTTTTTTCTTTCGTTCAAATCGATCAACTCGACTGCTTTGGGATACCCGCAGATCGTCAAACGTCCCGCGAAAACGGTGAGATTATCGTCAAAGACCCTTGACACTGCACAGCGGTGCTTGCATTTGGAAAGCATCGGGTTAGGTACGAAACAACCTCACGATCCATTTCGACTTTGTGGAATTGCTTTGTCAACCCCTCCCACTTTGCCGACCCCCCCCCCCCCCCCCAACCCCAACAACAACAACACACACATTTCGAACACCAACTAATTTCGACTTCTGTTTCTAGGGTGCTCTCAACCCTTCGCTCTATTCTTATTCCATGATTCCTGCCCCACAATCTTGAACGACAAAGCTACATTTTAATTTCTGACTTTGCTCCGTTTTGGCATTCACGCGGAGATCACATTCTGGAAGATCTTCGGGGACCGCCTTGCTGCAGGCGTAAAGTGTTAATCCATAATTTTGCCGGTTTCGCGACCTGACGGCCAGATGAATTTCAATTACATCCCAACCACCCAGCCCATGTCGGGTACCTCGACGGGACGCAGCTCTCCCAGTGAACTGACCGGGTCTGGGAACCCAAGAATGCCGTTTGGACCTTCTCCAGGGTCCATTGGCAGTTCGAGGCCGGGGGCTGGCTCCCCTTCTCATGATTTGGCATCACGTCTGTACTCGAAGCGGTAGGTTTGCTTTCAGTGGGATACGCAACTGCATCAAGTGGCTGACACTTTAATTTTTTTTCACAGAGCCCGTGAAATTCAAGCGCAAGAAGGCATTTCTCCCAGTATTTGGGGCCCTCCGACTAGCGGCCATTCAACCCCGCTTCGCGAGAATATTCCCGAATCGCCGAGTCAAGATAGCTTTCCCGATCTGATTACTACCACCAACGGCTCGATGGACAGCCCTGGCCGCCGCGCCCGCGCTGGAACGGTTCCATCACGTTTCCCTCCATTGGGCACACTGAATGAGATGGATTTTCAGCAGCCTTATATGCCACAAACTTCACGGCCAACACCCTCAACTAGTCCTTTTAGGCCCCCCGGCGTTTCCGGCATAGATGCAGGTTCAAAGGTTGTGAGTGCAACTGGTGTGCCCAACCCAGCATCGCTATCTCGCCTTCGAGCTGGCTCCATGCCGCAAAGAAGTAACTTCTTGGGAGGGGGCGGCCCCTTCGGTCCATCACTGTTTTCAACCAACTGGTCGACGAGTCGTGAGAGGGCTACAACATTAACCAGCATTCGGTCTTCGGAAGGGCCGACTTCGCCTAGCCACTCTTCTTTCTCGAGAGATGGACTTGCGGACACCGATGTGAAGACCTTGGATTACTTGGGCCTTGCTGAGACCCCTCAACAGGGAATGGCCTCTCTTACACGTCCCTCGATGGAAGTTTTGATGCAGCAGCAGCAACAGCAAGCTTCGGCGCTGCCGCCACTCCTGGCTGAGCTGGCGATGATGAAGAACAATAATCGATTCCGATCATACTCTGTCAATGCTAAGGAGAAGTACGCGGACGACGAGGATCTTGAGTATGAGAGCCGCTACTCCCAACTTCCTTCAGGCACCTTGACGCCAACCGCCGCTGCAACTGCCGCGCAACTTGCCGCCACACAGGCCCAGATTCACCAGCATAATCTTGCTGTCCAGGCTTTTGCCAGCCATGCATCTGTCAGCAGACCCCGGGCGCGAACTGCTGGCATTTTAGAAGCACCTCCTCAGCGATCATCCATCCGCAACTACCTCGCCACACCTTCCCGCCTTGATAACAGCTTCAGTGCTGCCGACCTGCAGATTCCCGAGAATGGTGAGTATGACGAGTTGTCCGAGGCAGTTCAACTGATGCATCTTGGCGGCAACGGTATTCCCGTGATGGGTAGCCGACAGGCCGGTGAGATGGCGGATGAGAACAACCAGGATGGCCCTACCCGGGCACTTTGGATTGGTAGCATTCCTGTATCCACAACTGTCACGTCACTAGAGGCCATCTTTGGCATATATGGAAAGATTGAGTCAACCCGTGTTCTAACTCACAAGAACTGTGGGTTTGTCAACTTTGATCGCCTTGACAGCGCTGTGCAAGCCAAGTCGCTGCTCAATGGCAAGGAGATTTTCCCAGGCGCAGGCCCCGTAAGAATTGGTTATGCCAAGGTTCCTGGTGCATCGGCCACTGGTACTCCTGGTGCAAATGGCATCCAATCGTCTCCAACTCCTGACCAAAACTTCAGATCAAGTCTCGCAGCAGCAGATGGGGCAAATCAAGCAGACAACGCCCATATCATCCCTCAGGTTCCCGCTCTGGCTGATCTGTTGCCTGAGATGGTGCAAATTGTGCAAGAATTCGGCGCAACTGAAAATGACTTGAAGAACATCACGACAAGTATTCAAACTTCCATTGCGTTCCAAGCCTTCGAGGATGAAATCCCATCGGTCCAGGAAACGAGCCAGTCCCGGATGTTCGACGCCCCTCGTCTCCGTGACATTCGGAAGCGCATTGACAATGGCGCCTGTTCGATCCAAGAGATTGAGGAGACTGCCGAGGCCATGCTTCCTGAGGTTGCAGAGCTCGCGTCCGATTATTTGGGCAACACAGTGGTTCAGAAACTGTTCGAATTCTGCTCTGAATCCACCAAGGAGCAGATGCTGTCTCACATTGCACCCCATCTTTCTGAAATTGGTGTTCACAAGAACGGTACTTGGGCTGCGCAGAAGATCATTGATGTCGCGAAGACTCCTGGGCAGATGCAGTTGATTGTTGATGCTCTCCGCCCATACACTGTTCCTCTTTTCTTGGATCAGTATGGAAACTACGTTTTGCAGTGCTGCCTGCGATTTGCCAGCCCCTTCAACAGCTTCATCTTTGAGTCTATGCTCAACCGAATGTGGGAAATCGCCCAAGGACGTTTCGGCGCCCGAGCAATGCGAGCTTGTCTCGAAAGCCACCATGCCACCAAGGATCAGCAGCGGATGCTTGCATCTGCCATTGCTCTCCACAGTGTGCAGCTGGCTACTAATGCCAACGGAGCTCTTTTGCTCACTTGGTTCCTTGATACGTGCACATTCCCTCGCCGCCGAACAGTGTTGGCTCCGAGACTCGTGCCTCACCTTGTTCACCTCTGCACGCACAAGGTTGCCTACTTGACTGTCCTCAAGGTGATCAACCAGCGTAACGAGCCAGATGCTCGGGACATAGTTCTTAAGGCACTCTTCTTCAGCCCCGGCGATGAAATTTTGGAGAAGATCCTGAGTGATCAGACATCTGGTGCAACTCTGATCTTCAAGGTCTTGACTACTCCGTTCTTTGACGAGTCAATGCGGACTGAGGTCGTGAAGAACGTGTCCAAGGTTCTCACGAAGCTCAAAGCTTCCCCAAGCCAAGGCTATAAGCGTCTAATGGATGAAGTGGGCCTCTCTTCACGAGGTAACGGGCGGGAGCATCACCATGGACGTGAGCACTCCACCCCGGAGAAATCGCAACACCGGCAATCCTCTCGTCACGGGAGCACAGGTTATCCGGCCCAGCCGTCCATGGACAGACAATACAATGGGCAGTTTGCTCCCAACACGTTTGGACAGAACCCTGACAACCGTCCGATCTCCGCTGACCAGTCCAACCCTCCGTCCCTTGATCTATACTCGAGCAACGGGCTCGGAAACCACTTGACCGGTCTTGCCGGTGCAGGCGGATACAGCCAGGAACCTCTGAGTCACCAGCAGCTGCAATACCAAGCCTTCCTTGCCGCACAGGCTCGTGGCGTTTCCACGGGCTACCCTGGCATTCCGGGCGCCAGCTACGGCTACTCAACTGGCTCCCCTGCTGTGGACAGCTTACGATCTATGCAACCGCAGCAGGTTCCCTCGCTGTCCACCGGGCCGGGCCAGATGCTTTCCCAGAACAACTACCAACAGTTCAGCCCCGTTGGCAACCCTGCCCAGATGTATCAATATCCTCTGCAATACTACCCCCAGGCACAGCCTGTGCAGGGGCAATCGGGCGGAGGCCGACGTGGACGGGTGAGTTCATTCTCGGATCGGCCCTAAACCGTGTGCTGCGGCAAAACTAACGTACATGCCTTGCGCCTAGCCTTGATCCCATCTTCGCGTATGATTTATAATCGATCTACCTTACCATCTACATGTATAAATTTTCTCGACCATCACTTCTTCTTTTTTTTCTCATTTTTGAAATTTTTCATGGAGACCAAGCGGGTTTATCTAGCTACGTGTTGTGATTTCACTGTCCTATCTCTTTGCCCTGATCGGACGCTGGATCGCCGGCAGGGGTAAATCGGACCCGGGAGAGGAACTGGATGCATGGGGATTCGGTGGTGAAAAAAAGTCTTGTGTCTCTTCTGGGTGGAGGCCCAGTTTTGTATCTTCTTCAGCGTTTTGAATGACCTTTTACCTTGTGATCGTTATGATGGAGCTTTTTCTCTTCTGTCTATTGTTTTAAGATCGAGATTTTGGCTGCCTAGTGGAAGCATAGTGAATTGATGCAGATGTGAAAAGATACGATGTCATGGTGAATGTAAATAATTTGAATCTAGTCGAATTGAGAAGAATCAACTTTATCAAAATCCCTCCAATGTTGAATTTATCTGAGGCCGAGTTCTGAAACCTCCACACCTACCCGGTGCAACCCGCTCACTTTCACCATCACCAACTAGGGAAAGAGAAATTCAGAGATGAGCAATACTAGCCAAGAGGAGACTGCAATTCTCTTCCAGGACACAAAAACATACCTTTTAGACATCCCGCATTCAATCGCCCTCGCGCAAGAAGGGAGGCCAGCAACACACCAACAACCATCCCCAGAATCAAGTTCAGGAACACAAAAAGGCCATTGCAGGAAGATCCTGAACCTACTTTCATGCTCACCTATCAAAGAACCGTACCCTTCTACTGAGCCTAAAACGCCAGCTGCTCTTGCTAAGGTCCTCAACAAGATTCCAATCTCCGAGAAGCGGTTCCACTCGGAACTGATCCTGCCACTCGTGAGGGATTCCCTCGAAACTATCAAGGCTGGGTATTCCCATGATCGCCGATGGTGTAAGGCTCGAGCGGTGCCTATTGGGTCTGAATCTCATTTTACCACAGCATCGAAGCAGCATACACGGAAGCGGCGGAGGGGAAACGAATACGTGCCCCTAGAGTCTGCGCTGGATGGCCATGTTTCAACTGAAAATGAACCACCAACGATTCTATCGACTACCTCGTTGAATAACTTCGAGTCTTTATCAGATCTTGCCATTGTCAAGAATCCATCACCAGAGCACGCAATCCTCAGGGTTGAAAACTGGTACGGTAGTGAATTGATTTCTCATTCGTGTGAATATGTCGTTCCACCTGAGTCAAGCTTTGTGCTTTGTACACTACCTCTATTTCAAGCCCAAGCCGACCGGCCATCTGTATCCAATGGATATCCTATTCCCGGTCTGCCTCAGTACCGGAAATTCAATCTCATCCTCATGGACCCGCCCTGGCCAAACAAATCCGTGCGACGCAGCGGGCATTACCCAACACATCAATATTCTGAGATGGATGTGCTTACCGAAGGGTTACGAGATATACTCTGCATCCACTCACATGACCCGACAACAAAGCAGGGGCTACGTTCATCTGAATCCCACTCGGACCCCATCCAAAGCGAGCAGTCTATAGCTGCTATATGGATCACGAATGCGGACAAAGCCCGACGAGCAGCATACGAGGCCTTGAGCGGCGCAGGCTTTTGGATCTGCGAGGAATGGATCTGGGTCAAGACTACATGGGACGGACAACCGATCTCTGCACTGGACGGGCTCTGGCGAAAACCATATGAGATCCTTGTCATTGGCCGCAAGGGTAGCCACAATTCCAACCTCAGTGCTATTGGCAACGCCAAAAATGCACCACCCCTGTCTCAAATGGATGATCTGACGCGGATGAGTGAGGCCATTACCACGAGACGAGTTATCGCTGCGGTTCCGGACTTGCATTCTCGTAAACCGAATCTGAAATCGATTCTTGAGAATGTGTTTTTCACGGAGACTGGTCAACTCCAGAGTTATTCTGCCCTCGAGGTTTTTGCGCGCAACTTGACAGCTGGCTGGTGGGCTGCTGGCAATGAGGTCCTCCGGTTCAATGAACGGGAGTGCTGGGTCGATCTTGGGAGTACAAAGAATACAGACATGCATGAATATGCATGACTGTCCAAGTCGGGTTTTAGAGTCGGTCAGAAGCGTTACGTTAATCGGTGACCTCCTATGCTGTCAACAAGCGGGGGCTACCTATTGACTCAGCACTTGTGTATACGTGGTGATACATACTTGGTGCATGTTGTATATGATGTATGGTGCATTATATATACATAGAGGAGGTCCTATCCCGGGCGAACACACCGCATGCTTATTCCCCCCGGAGTCCCTTTCATCCCGATGAGTGAACAGCGCGGAAATCCTGCTGCGCTGACAAATTTCATCTTTTTAATTGGAATTGCAACTGTAACCTCGAGCGACTCAACTGCAGTGATGAACAGACATCTTAATTTCTATTAAAAATCTCTTGGGAAACGTGGGAAAAACCCTCTATCGCTTAAATTAACCCCGCGTGACCCCCAAACCCGCCGAAGGAATTCAGCCTCATCGAGTGGACAGAAGTTTCCAACGGTTCTGTCTAAGATCTTCCGGAAATGGCTAAGGATCAAGAAAATGGTGAAATTGATCCAGGGGTCAACGACAATTCGGAACGTCCAAAAAGTTTCAACAGCACCTTCCAAGAAGTTCTCTTCGTCTTAACTGCCACGATGGCCATTGGCCAGCAGTCGTTCTTCCAGGGCTGTATTGTGGGAGTGACTGCATCCATTGGCAGGGATTTACATATGAATTCCGCTGAAATCACCTGGATCAATGCCGGTGCTTCGTACGTTCTCCCCATATTTTTCTAAGCTTCCCCAGTTTTTATATGCAACTTTGATCGATGCTTTTCCCACACTCACCATACAACAAACATCAAATATCAAATATCAAAGAACCATGAACCACTAACCATGCAATCAACATAAACAGCCTTACTAGCGGCGCCTTCCTTCTCACCTTCGGAAAGCTAGCCGACATGTTCGGACGCAAAGTGCTCTTCATCATCGGCATGGGCGGTTTCACCATCTCATTACTCATCGTCGGCTTTGCAAAAAACGCCCTCTACATGGATATATTCTCTGGAGTTCTAGGTTTATTCGCAGCCGCCGTCGTTCCACCCGCGGTCGGCACTCTAGGCGCAACTTACGAGAAGCCCTCAAAGCGAAAGAACCTTGCCTTTGCCTGCTTCAGCGCGGGAAACCCGCTGGGGTTTGTCGGTGGCATGATCATTTCCGGTGTCGCGGCGCATTTGTATAACTGGCGCGCTTCATTCTGGGCCCTTGCGGTTGTCTATGCCATCTTTACCATTTTGACCGTCTGGACGGTGCCCACTGATGGGTTTACTAGGACGCCTTTGAGTGTTCAGGCTTTGAAGCAATTAGATCTTCTTGGGATGATCTTGATTGTTGTTGGGTTTGCGTTATTCTCGAGTTCGCTTTCGTATGTTTTCCCTTGTGAACCGGATAATTTCTTGGGATTTCCGCTGACTACTCAAGTAGTCTCGCTGCAGATGCTCCAGATGGCTGGAAAACGGAATACGTTCTTGCTCTGCTTCTTGTGGGCTTTTTCCTTCTCGTTGCATTTCTATACTGGCAATCCGTTGCTACAAACCCTCTGATGCCTCTTTGGGTCTGGCAAGATCGTAACTTCTCCCTTGTGTGTATGCCCCCTTTCCAAGGAGATTTAGGCCAAAACTAACTGTTCAGCTCATCGGAGCCTGCTGCCTTGGCTTCATGGGGTTCTCTGCCGTCAGTTTCTTCCTCTCCCTCTACCTTCAAAACTTAAAACATTTGTCTGCCCTTGAAATCACCGTCCAGCTACTCCCAATGGTTGTCAACGGGGTGCTGGTCAACGTCGTCTGCGGTCTGGTCCTGCACCGCGTAAGCAACAAAATCCTAACCGGCATCGGAGCACTGGCGTATACAGCCTCGTTCCTTATCCTGAGCTTCATGAAGCAAGAAGCTACCTATTGGGCATTTATCTTCCCAGCGCTAGTTCTTGTAGTTGTTGGTGCTGACATCCAATTCAACGTCACAAATGTACGCTCAGCTCCATGCCCTGTCCATTCCTTGTCTTTGAGGGGTATTGATTAACTTCATCTAGATGTACGTGATGTCTACCCTCCCACCATCCCAGCAATCCGTTGCCGGCGGTATATTCAACACTGTCATCAAGTTGTGTAACAACCTGGGCGTTGGCATTGCCACTTCTGTGGAGAGCTCAGTCGCCCTTCGTATGACCACCTCCACGCCTGCGATTCGGCCTTACCTCTCGGTCTATTGGTTTGCGGCTGCCGCTTCGGGCGTGTCTCTGCTTTTGGTGCCGTTCTTAACAATTGGTAAACAGGGCAATAACGTTCCGTCAAACGATCGGTTGATTTCCGAGGAGGCTGGTGGGAAGACAGCTGTTACTGTTAATGCCGATTCTGGGATGTCTTCTACTTTTGATATCACGGAGCATGAGAAGAGGTAGCCTACTGAGCTGGTCTATTCAGTATCGAAGAGGGTCGACATTGGGATTGAAGAGCAAAATGGGGGCGATATCTAGAGACACTAGATCTCCCTGGGCATGTATATACATACATCGCATCCCAGAATATCCTGCCTACTCTTTCATCGGGATGCCAGGCACAGAAACATCATTAAACGTACTTATCAACCCACTACTGCCTCAAAGCACAGCTTGAGAAAGACATACTGTCTATCCGAATACCAGATCCAGAAATACCCCGAACCCCCCTAATCAAACAACGGCCCCAAACTCACCAAACTAAACCTCAAATCCGGATTCCCTCCCTGCGCCTCCATCTTCAAAAACCTCCTCACCCCCAACTCCAACGCAGCCTCACTAAGCGCATCCTCCCCGTCCTCCAAAACACCTCTAGCCAAAGGCCCCTTCCTTCTCCCATCCAACTCCCAAAGGGTCCCATCAACCCCCCGAACAAAAGCAACGAAATGCAAATCGACATTATCTTCCGCCGCCGGCGCAGCCGTATCCCCCAGCTTCGCCGCATCAGCATGCGCACTCTCCAGCGCCTTACTATCGTAAAGCAGATCCGCCCGTTGGATCGGCTCTAGTCCTTCCGCTTCGCGAAGCAACGTATCCAAATTCGAGCCGGCGACGACATGTTTCCGGGCCTCGCCGTTTGAAACTGCATGCAGCAGCCCGATCAGCCCGCATGCGTTCCGTATAGTTTGCTTGAACCACATTACAGGCTCCGAGGGCCCGGAGCCCGTGTAGGTTGGTTTAGAGGCGTCTTCGATTTCGCGCGAGGCTTCGTAGGTTTGTGAGACGGGGAAGACGAGGAGGAGGGCTTGGGAGGGGCGGGGGACAAAGGCAAGGAGATCGGGTTCGTCGATGGAGAATACATCGGTGAAGCCAAATGTTGGGGCGAGGCCGAGTTGGTGTACTAGGTGTGACATGACTTCTGGGTTATTTTCTGGGGGTGAGGGGTTAGTTTGGGATTCGAGGCCATTTTGGGGGCGGGGGTTTTGAGGTGAGGGCAAACCTAATGGCACGAAGGCCTTTTGCGTCGCTGGAACATCGACGTGTGCCATTGTATGCGGGCTTGGTGATTCTTGTTTATGATTGTGTTGTTCGCATGTCTTTAGGATAAGGTAAGGGCTGGGAGGGGGGAAGGATTGCGGGGTCCGTTAGCTTCCACGATTTCTAGTAGAAAATGGGGACCTTTCGATCTTAATTACTTTAATGGAGCTTTGACAGTTTGTTGGACATAGTGGACTTCTCTCCTTGTAATTTTTTTGGGGATCTAGACATCATTAACAAGATGATAGGGTCATAAATCTTTATGTACAAAATATGTACAACTTATCTGCATCGGGTTATACTTTCCCAAAGAGTTGGATTGGCCCGAGAAGCCTGAAAAACAAGGCTACCATTTCAGGCGAGTATTTTGCCCTGTTTGCACACACCACGTTCCATATCGACAGCAACAGATTCAGCTTTCTTGGGACAGTTCTGCACTTCCCATCTAGCAGGATTAAGATCATTCCTCCAACAAGGATCATGCTAATCACCGCTGAGAACCACTCAAAAGTGGATACCGAGAAAGACATTGTTTCCAGGAAACTAGTGCCGTTAGCGTCAGATTGTCAAATCGCCACTTTGCCTCTAAATCGGCCACTCCTTCCGCAAACGTCGAGTCTCCGCCAGCAGTGACTGGATTGGCACACTGATGTCCCGTGGGACCCCTGTCAATTTCCGGGCTCATTAAAAATGGGAAACGGGGCTAGATCAAATGAAGCTACGGAGAACCCCCCCCCCCCCCCCATTGACCCAACGACATGGTAGCTTTTGCAACTCTCTGCCGAGAACTTCCCAGACTGGCTACTGAAAATCTAGTGGAATTCCTTATACCGGAATCTCCGGGTCTTGTCTCATTGCCACATGTTTGTGCTCGGCAGTTCTAATCCTCTACTATATGTTGCTAATTAATGCATAGAAGATCATATCCTTCTTTCACACTCAACGTGGAATGAATTCCAGCTACCTTTGTTCAACCCTATTTTATACTCTGACCATAATCATGAGGCGTGCTATGTCATCGATTGTCTCAAGGTTGGCTTAGCGTTCTTTTCTTCGACTAAAACTCCCATTTTTGGCCAGCCCATTTGGCCAGCCTAAGGGCGAAACGGCTCCAGTTCTTTCCTGTTTGCCCCTGTATTTTTGTAGCTTTTTGCGGGTCGTGACAGGAGAACTTTTTTTATTAAGAATCTTTCTCCCCCACATATATGAATTCTTCCCGGCATGACATGTACTAGGCGATATGACCGACGAACACCAACGAAAAACGGCGGTTCAGACTATCGCCGCGGTCTTTCTGCCGATCGCCACCATCACAGTGATGCTGCGCATCTATGTGCGCGGGTGGATCGTAAAGGCATTTGGATGGGATGATGGAGCTATGGTAATTGCACTGGTAAGTTCAATCTGGAACCCCGAAAGGGCTTTGTAGAGTCACAAGATCTTACAGATCCAATTTGCTGCAGCTATTTTACGCCATGTTCTGCGGAACCATGATCGGAGGCACGCTCTATGGCACAGGCTACAAGTTCGAACACCTCCCCGTCGAAAATCGTCGCATCGCAATGAAGTACTGGTGGCTCTGCGAGATCGCCTATTGCTTTGCCTCCGTTGGATGCAAGATTTCCATCTGCATCTTCTTAATGCGCATCACCGTCAAACGCATTCATATCTGGATCCTCTATGTCATCATGGTCTTGACCGTCATAGCAGGCCTGATTTTCATGTTCCTCATGCTCCTCCAGTGCAGGCCACTGGAATACTTCTGGACTCGGGTGGCCGAGGATCCGGCTATCACAGGAAAATGTATGGATGTGAAGATCATAGTTATGATGACCTACATTTACAGCTCATTTGCCGCACTGTGTGATTTCACCGTCGGCTCGTTGCCCGTCTTCCTCGTCCACAAACTTCACATGAAGCGCCAGACCAAGATCGCTGTCGTGGGCATCTTAAGCATGGCCTGCATGTATGTTTCCTCGTCTTGAGTTTCCGGACTCCTTCCAGATCACTGACAAGATTCCATAGTGCTTCGGCGGCCGTGATCGTCCGTTTCCCCTTCGTCAAAACATTCTATGACCCCGATTTCCTCTGTATGTTCCTGCTCCCTCCCCGCATGGTCGACCAACAGTTGAGCAAAATATTAACCAAATCCCTTCATTCTAGACGCAACCTATCAAATTGCCGTTTGGTCTAACATCGAAGCAGGCCTCGGTATTACCGCCGGTAGTCTCGCAACGCTCCGACCCCTCCTCCGCGCCTGGACCGGCTCTAATTCAGACCCATACTACTCCTCTAGACTTCCGGGCGGACGCTCAAGGTCTGCCTCGCGCCCATTGGGCGGTGGTGAAAATGGTCCCTTTCCGTTAAGCTCGCTGGACAGTAGCGTGCAGTCTCGCCTGAGACCGGATAAGCTTGCGGTCACTGTCACAACTATCCAAAGCCAGCGCCAGAGGGACACTGACGATGCCTATAGCACGAGCCCGAGTAGCAGCGAGGAGAGGTTGACTATTGATCGGCCTTCGCCTCGGTTGCCAGATGTTGGGTTGGGGATTCATCGCACATTTGAGGTTACGCAAATTTCATCGGAAAGGGACGATTCAGAAAGGAAAGTTGTCAGGGAACATGTATAATTGATCAACGTTACATTATGAACTAAGGTTTTTTTTTTTAAAAAAAAAAACCCCTGTAAATTTCATCATTTACTGTTTCGTTCTTTTCTGGGTCTGCACAGTGCAACACTTCCTAGCAAGCGGGCATCATAGTTGTGGATAGGGGTGCAACTTGATAATTATGACGAATGGGTTGTATTCGATTCATTCAGTCATTAAAATGTCTGGCCCATGTGCATCTGAAATGACCTATAACAACTCCCCTCTATCGACTAGGATGCTTTCCCTGCTTTAACGGCTCGAAAATCTCCGTCCACAGCTCATGAGCTTCACCCAGGAAATATGTCAAATCAACATCGGCCAGACTAGCGTCCCCATCTCCAGACAAAGTCTCAAGCTGGGAGATCAAGTTCTCCAGTCCAAAAGCCTTACCCGTTGCCTGGGTTGCACCAGCTTCCAGCATAACATGAACAACGTGGATGTGGAAATGGTAGTACGTCGGTTGATCTGCGAGATTCAAAGTCAGCAAAACACCATCCAATGTTCAATGGAACGATATCCAGCGCAGTACAATCCCCCAACCACTCACAATGAACATAAAGCTTGATCTGATCTTCCTCCAAAGCAGGATACATAGAAACCGTAGCCTCAAGCACCCTCTTTCTCAAATACTTCAACCAAGGCACAAAGCTCTTCTTCAGATCCCTCAAACTCCAAATATCCCTCCTCTGCACCAAGGCCAACAAATGCAGGGACCCCACACTCTTCCGATCCCAATTCAAGTCAGGCAACATCAAAAACCCATCTTGCGGCCCGTGTCCCTCATCCCGTAGAATCACATCCTCCTGCTCAGTCCTACCCTCGAGAATATTAAACACCCAGTTCAGTCGTCCTTCCTCGCGTTTCGCTTGCATGTACGGCCGCACGTGCGTGCGGTATATCTCCGCCGTCTCTGTTACCATGCGCAGCTGCTGGTCGGAGTACTTTTTGATGTGCTGCGCTGTGCAGGGCCAGATGAGGTTGAGTTTGAGGTCTTGGTGAGGGTTGGTGGACGCTTCGGCTGGTGTTGGGTCACTGTTGCCGCTTGAGGAGGCCAGGTACCACCGGTAGATGTCGTTGTCACCCAAGTTGTTGATTCGAGAGATTGCTGAGTGGAAGGCTTGGAGTACCGCGAGGGATTCGGTTGCGAAGGCGGCTCGCTCGGCTGTTAAGATGCCTTGCGTGTTGTCAATTGTGCCTAGGAGGGCGATTCGTCGGCCGTTTTGGTCTAGAGGGGCTTTTTTTAGTCTCTTGGTTGCGGGGGTGGAGTGGATGAGTCGGACCTTGTTTGAGGAGCTTGCTCACTTGGAATTTGGTGATTAGTGCCTCTGGGGCGAGCTTGTCAGTGTCTAGGGAGTCGACCATGATTGGGAGGCTTTCAATGTTGGATTGTAGGGAAGTTCAAGAGGTTTTGTACGATTCATTCATCTTTGTCGGGTGGGGCGGTCAGGCTTATCGGTTTGGTGTAGATCTATAAGAGGGGCAATGCGAAAATTCATCTGCTTAGACTCGATCTATATCATATAGTAGGGTTGCTTTGATATTCTGATACATGGAGCCCTACGTATATCCATTGAGCGCATTGAACTGAGAATAATTCCTCTCAAGCCTTCGTCAACACTTGGTTCGGATTTGGTGAAGGTTGTAAGCAGACCCCAGTACTCAGTTCCAAGCAGAAGCAATGATGCATCACAGAATAATGCTCAGATGCAATTGATAGATAGCATAGAATCTACAATGATTTCTCCATCAACTCCATCCTAACCAAACCAGTCTCTCTCAAGCAGCTGATTCCTTTCCATTCGCCGCTGATGTTGGAGTTGTATGCATCTAATAGACGATCAGAAAAGAATCAAGGCAACCCAACGACCTAGATAAACCATGATTTAAAGGGGAACAGAACATACCGCGTCCGCAAACTGCAGCCACTCCTCCACCCCCTTGACAAAAGTGTCGTCTGCTGCAGGAAGAGCCTCATGTCCCCATACGACAAACTCATCAAACGTCCCCTGCATTTCCATAATCTTCACTGGTTCCTCAGGCTCAGCCTCTGCTTCCTCGGCGCCGCCATCGTCTGCCCGTTGGGTTGCAGGTAACACACGGTCTGTGTGTGTTGCGATGACACCTATACATGTTCAACGGTGTATAGTCAGCCTATTGTGATTCAAATGCCGTTGATGCATTTTGGGGAGCTCATTTGGACGTTTTCTCGTACCTCGATAGCCATCAGGAAGGGCGACGCGCCGACCTCGGAGTTTGCGTCCGCGAAAATGTGCCGTTTGTGTATTATCTGGAGATCAAAGAGATGTTAGTTCTTGTTTGTACATTAGTCTAGCTAGATCTCACTGCCATGTATACCTTTCTCGTCTTTCACTGTCCAATACCGGTCCCACGAGTTAATTGGACCATCGTGGTGAATACGGCATGGGAGGATATTTGGCATGAGTTGCCCAGTCGAGTCTTTCTTTTTGGACAGTGAGATCGCTTTTGAGCAGGGCCGGATAGCGTACATGCCGGGCATTGTGTCGGCTGCTCTTCGTAGAGAATGGATCTGTTGAGCTGAGGGCTGGCGGGGCACTAATAGTGTAATTCAGGATATTTGCCGGAATCAATTGGTTGCCAGTTTATCTTGTGTCGTTGAGATTGTCTTGGAGGTCTGAAATGGGAGAGGTAGTGCCTGGCTTCTGCGGTGTTGAGTAGTTGCGCTGTTTCTTGCAAAAGATTGAAGGTGAGGCGCGACGCGTTCTCCCGTTATCCGCGTTAAGTGGAAATTCGAAGGATATCGACGAGGACTATAAAAACTTACTCTGCGATCTCTGCGATCTCGGCAAGTGAAATGTAGATATTTCAGTGCAGGTGAAACAGTAGAAAAATAATTAAAGTCTTCTAAATTCTCATAGAAATGTAATACAATTGACACTGACCAGGGGGTATACATGTACAGAGTATCTAAGCATGTCTCTTCGAAAGCTATATCAAATTTTCAACCACATCAGCGCTTGCGTGTGGTCTTCTTCTTCTTCTTCTTTTTTTCTGGCCCTCGCCCTTCTCCCTAGTGTCGGCTAACATCCGAGCGGGCCATTTCTTCAAATGCTCCCGCTCAAACGCATCCTTCTCCCGACGATACAAAGCCATCGTAGCCCGAGCATCTTCCACACTAGAATGCGCTCCTTCCTGGATTTTGATTCCCAAGAATTCCTCAGCCAACATCTTCAAACGGGGTGATCCACCGCCCGCGATCCTTCGATACGGTGGGTGCTTGCTCGTGTCTCGAATGTCGCGCTTGGGATGGCTGAGAAGGAGAGCATCTAAATCGTTGCTGACAGCGTGGCCGACGAGAATGCGGTCCTTCATGATTTCTGCAATTTCCTTTTGGACGTGTTCAAGGGTTCGTGCCTCCACCATGTGCTTTGGAGCAATCCCGCTCACATGCGTGCGCCAGTCGGTGACCATCTCCTTGGGGCGCACGTAGGAATCGTATATTTGGTCGCCGTTGAAGTTTACGACGCTGACGCGGGCAAGTGCAGAGTCGTTGTCGGGGTTTGGTCCGACACCCACCATTTCACAATCCATGGCGACATATTTCCCTAATTCGGCACTGGAGATGGATGGTTAGTAGCTGAAAGTGAGAGGACAGCCCAAATAGCATGGTTGTACGATCTGATCTGCACTCTGGCACTTACCTTGATGAACGGCCTTCATTTTCCTTGTAACGCGAACTCGTCTCGATCTTTGGAGCGGGTGCATCGGCTGAATCGCCAGTCTCGTTTTTATCAGACATCCTCTTGCGCTTGAATGTTGGTTTGGCGTCTTGGTTATATGGCTTTTGCTTCTCTGTCAACTTGCGTTTCTTCACGATGCCATCTCCAGATTCGCAGTCGGAGGGCTTGCGCTTGATCGTAGGATCTTTCTTGAATGTCGCCTGCAGCTTCTTCCAATTACTGGAAAGCGCTGTCTTGTCCATTCTGTGTTCTGTTGGTGAGAGGGAAGATGGGCAAGATTAAGATTAAAAGAAAAAGCGATAAGCAAGTAAATTTTCGGGACCCACTTTTATTTTGGGGTTGATAGTTGACCAGGCAATATTTGGGTGGTGTTGGAGGTACTCACAATTTATATACGATAGATACGATTATTTCTAACAGAGTGCTTGCTTTGCGTCGCTTTTATGTGCTTGAAAAATGTGATGAAACCTGATCCTATATATCATCTAACCTTAGGACCACATTATATGTCCAGATAACAAAATGCACGCGCTTTTAGAGGGAATATGCAGAATCATTCGTACCCAGTCTTGAAATCCTTCGCAGCCCACTTCTCCGTGATCTGTCGTCTGGCCTTGCGTGCCTGGGTGATTGGTGTGCGGGACTCGAGCTTACCCTGAACGATCAGTGTTCGGAATCGATCATCCAAGAGATTGCCTTCCGGCTTTAAGAGACGTAGAGAATCCTGCAGCTCATCGGGAAGCACCAGCTCCAACGGCTTCTCGGGTACACTAAATGATCTTGTTAGTTGCAACAGAGGTATATGAAGATGAACAAAAACGTACGCTCTCTTGCCACCAAAGGTCTTCCTGCGGAGGGCAGTGTCATCACCATCTTCAGAATCATCCGCATCCGACTGATTCTGGCGCTCGAGCTCCCGTTGCTTGACTTCCTCGGCAATCTTGAGAATGTGCTGGGCCTGTTCATCTCTCTTTACCCTCGCTGCCTCCCACTTCGCTTTCCCCTCGGCCGCCTTGCGTCGGATGACCTTGTTACGCTGTGTCTTGGACTTTCTCTCGGGGCGCTTCTTGTTCAGCCACTCGGGCTTCTCGTACTCGCTTTCGAAGCCCTCCCAGGCACTCTCATCATCCGACTTCACCTCGCCGTTGTCGTTCTGGGCCTCCTCAATAAGACGCTGCTTCTCAGCTTCCTTGGCCTCTTCGGCCAGCCGCAGTTTCTCGGCCTCGACCGCCTTAGCACCATGTGTCTCCAATAGTTTGTCCCACTCTTCAAAGACAGGGTTGTAACTGGTTCCGGCGTGTGGCATCTGGACGGAGGGAATCGGTTTTCCATTGGCAGCAAGCGAGATTGGGGCTTGTTTTAATGTGACCGGCTCAACCTTGGGCTTGGGCTTCTGCAGGAAATCAAAGCGAGGGTCGTCGTACGTGGTCGTGGGTTCGGCATCTTCCGCCCACGGATCGTAGAACTCATTTTCGGTCTTCTTACCCAGAGGGTTTCCTTCCTTTGCTACTTGCTTCAGGCGGAGATATTCCTTTTTGCTAACCCAGTCGCTCTTGGGCTTCTTCGTCTTCGGCTCAATGACTCCATCGGTGACGTTAGGGTTTAAGCGCTTGCGGCCATCCAGGGCGGGAATCATCGACCGCTGGGCAAGGATCTCGTCTGACTTGAGGGGCTTCTTTTGCTTTTTGGCGAAAGACTTGCGCACATCTTCGTTACCGACAGTATCGAGTACGAAAAGTTCATCGGAAGGCTTTTCGGAGATAAGACCACTATCAGAGACAAGAGTTAGAATCTCAATTCACAAGTAAAGAGCCAAAAAAAAGAAGAGCAAAGATGGGCCTACCCTGTGATCTCGGCGTCCTTCAGATCGCGCAAACCCTCCTGCACGGCGGTGATATCGACATTCTTGCGCCACGCCTTCTTGCCCTTACGGGAAGTTTGCTTAAATTGCTGCGGGGCATTCACTGAGGCCGACATCGTGGAAAATCAACTGAGACAGACAGTCGACGGTGACAGTACGAAAATATTGGCTTATCTTTTTTTCTGGTCCAAAAAAAATTCTGGATCTGCTTATCTCAGCACGCGCGGGGGCGGTGATCGCGGCTACTACGTTTACCGCGCTTGGTTGCGAACTCGCTTTTCTTCCGCTACAAGCTGTCATCACTTACGGCGCGTGAACTCCCTGTACGCCAGTGTGTTGTCATTTTCCATCTTTCTGGTGGTACCCTTGATCTTTCACTATCGCTTTTCGAAGGCTTGACACTGCGCTTAGCGCGATCGCACGCCATGCCTGTCGTCAAAGGAGGTGTCTGGTAAGTGCCACTGTTGGAACCCGCCCAAGAGCTTTCGTCGCTAACATACTTTTAGGACCAACATTGAGGATGAAGTGCTTCGGGCAGCTGTACGTTGTTTTCGACCCACTGGAATCTCCCTGGCCAACATTTGATGGGACAAAAACTGATTCGATCATAGGTATCCAAATATGGTCTCAACCAGTGGGCTCGAGTCTCCTCCCTGCTGGCACGGAAAACACCTAAGCAATGCAAGGCGCGCTGGATTGAATGGTTGGACCCTGGTATTCGCAAAGTCGAGTGGTCGCGGGAAGAGGATGAGAAACTGCTCCACCTTGCGAAGCTGATGCCCACGCAATGGCGCACAATTGCTCCTATCGTCGGGCGCACTGCCACACAATGTCTTGAACGCTATCAGAAACTTCTGGATGAAGCCGAATCTCGCGAAAATGACGAGCTTGGTCTGGGAGGACCTGGTGAGGAGAGCGCCGCCCCCAGTGCGGACGATGTCCGCCGCTTACGGTACGCGAATTTTGCTCAAGATCATGACGTTTATGTTGCTGATACCTTTTAGACCCGGTGAACTCGATCCCGACCCTGAGTCCAAGCCTGCCCGCCCCGACACAATCGATCTGGATGAAGACGAGAAAGAAATGCTGAGCGAAGCGCGTGCCCGTCTCGCCAACACACAGGGTAAAAAGGCCAAGCGAAAGGCGCGAGAGCGGCAATTAGAGGAGTCACGTCGACTGGCTGTTCTCCAGAAGCGTCGCGAACTCAAGAATGCTGGTATCAACGTAAAGGTTGTAACGCGGAAGCCCGGTCAGATGGATTACAATGCAGACATTCCATTTGAAAAGCCAGCTGCTCCTGGGTTCTACGATACGATTGAAGAGAAGGAACAGAATGAACGCCAACGAGAGGCATTTGATCCTCGGAAGCAGCAACTTGCAAATAAGAGAAAGGGTGATCAAGACGATGATGCGGAGCGCAAGAAACGCAAGAACGATAAAAGTAGCACCTCGGCCGCCTCAGCTGCAGCTGCACGAGCAGGTCAAATGCAGAAGATTCGCGAGGCTGAACAGAGCAGCAAGCGTCGGGGACTGAACTTGCCAGCACCGCAGGTCAGCGAAAGCGAAATGGAAGATATTATCAAGATGGGAATGGCTGGTGATAAAGCCAGTCGAATAAGTTCCGATGAAACAAGCACTCGGGAACTCCTTGGAAATTACTCGGCTATCGTTGGAGGAACTCCTATCAGAACCCCGCGAGCCGCCCCCGAAGAGGATCGCATCGCCAACGAGATCAAGAACATTCGGGCTTTGACTGAAACTCAGTCTTCCCTTCTGGGTGGGGATAATACACCTCTCTATGAGGGCAGCTCATCAACTGGATTTGATGGGATTGCTCCTCGGCGGCAAGCGATTGTCACCCCCAACCCCATGGCCACACCATTCCGCCAGGCGAATGGCATGGGTGCAACTCCTATGCTTGGCGGTGTTGGGGCCGGTGCTACGCCCTTGCGTACTCCTCGAGACCATCTAGCTCTCAATCGGGAGGGAGAGGGTGGCCAGCTTATTGGCAGCACACCCCGAGACGTAAAAATGCACGAGAACTTTACTCGCCAACAGATGCGGAGCAAGCTGGCCTCGCTTCCCAAGCCCAAAGAATCCCAATGGGACTTTGAGACTCCGTCTGAGTCTGCTGAGCCTACCATATCTGCGGACACCAGTGAAGAGGATGCGTCCGAGCGTGATCGCCGTAACAACGAGGCACGGGAGAAGGCCGCCAAGGCTGAATTCAAGCGTCAATCACAAGTTTACCAGCGAGGCCTACCCCGTCCCGCCGTTCTAGATCTGAATGATTTGTTGCAACGTGCCTCTAAGATCACTGACACCATCGAAGGCCAGATTGCCAACGAAGCTGCCATCCTGATTGCACATGACTCTCGCAAATTCCCCGTCTCCGATGCGCAGGTCAAGGGCCGAGCACCAAAGTTAAGCCAGTTGGACGACCAGTTTTTGGACGCAGCACGAGCTTCTATTGCCGCTGAGATTGCTTCCACCGAAACACAGCAATCAGAATGGCAAGAAAAATTCGACGACGGCTGGTCGTCAGCTCGCGCTAAGTCTCTGCCCGGTCTTGAAATTTACGAGGACGACGAGCAGGATCCTTTCCAACAAGAACAACGCATGAATTCAGCGTTCGAAACTATTCAAACATCCCTCTTTGCTACCGCTGAGCACGGAAACAAGCTTGAGAAGAAGTTGTCTTTGCACTACGGCGGATACCAGAACCGTGCCAAGACGCTGCGGTCAAAAATCTTGGAGGCAGGGGCTGCTTTACCTGCCGCTGAAAATGAGCTGGACGCTTTCCGTACACTCCAGATCTCTGAGGAGTCGGCTCTGACCCGGAGACTTGAGAAACTCCGTGAAGCAGTGTCGTTTGTTATGCGGCGTGAACGAGAGGCTCAGGATTTGTACAAGAGCCGAAAGGATGAGCTTGATGAACTTCTTGCTGGCACAGGAACGGTCAATGGATGGCACTAGGTAGTTTGCTTTTTTTTTTCTGTTCTGCGTCATGACCACAATATCTTGCTCTTCTGTACAATTACTACCTCAGTCTAATTTGACGTACCGTACGCGGTCATTTCTAGAAGATATCCCTGACTTTACGAAGTTTTGGTGTGCTAGAAGCAGTTTGATGAAGATTTGGTATTAATTTAGCTGCTTGCTCGGTTGATAGCATTCGACATGGCAACGGCCCAGTGCCTCTCCAGCATCGTTTCCATGAAATAGTGTCTTGTTTCTTAGATCCTTTTGGAAAATAGCAAACTACACAAAAAGTTCAAAGTTAAGATCCATATTAAAAAATGCAATCCAGCATTACTAATCGTACTTACGGATGCCATATTAAACTTCGGGCTTTGGGCCATCTGAATCTGCAACTTCAAGCTTTGGAACGTTGACTTTCTCCTCTTCATAGATCCCAACGAACCGCTTATCGTATTTGGCAAGATTGTCCCGTTCCGCTGCCGACAGAACAGGATAATACTTGGCATATTGCAAGGTAGGCAGAGCCTCCAGGATGCGTATGAAAAGCGCCGTCGAATGATCACCAGTAACACTCAGATCATCCACTGTAACCAAGTGTCTGAAGTAGGCATTGACCTTGTGAGCATTGACCTCAAAGAACTCACGAAGCGTGCCGCGGTTCGCATAAACATGAAGGGAGAAAGGGATGTCGCGGAACTGCTCGCAGAGATCCATAATGGTCATCTTATCAGTCGTCCAGCCATCCCAGCCGTGTAGGACAAAGATGCATTCGGTCTTGGACGCGCGTGCTTCCTCGAGAGCCATTCCCAGATACTTGCCGACTCGACTGACGGATGGGATTCGGCTATGGGCGGGTTGGATGATTGTCTGCATCTTGTGGGGACGGAGACCCAGGAGACCGAATCTCTTGCGGTGCTCGGCGACGGTGATTATAAGCAGTGAGCGTAGGTATTCGTGCATTTGGTTGTTGTCAACTTTCGCCTTTGGGTAGTTGTGGTCAGTCAGGTTTGAGGCTCGGGCAATGAAGACCACCACTGGGCCAAGGGGGGTGCGCGAAGAAGACAGGCTTAGTTTGGATGGGGAGTCTTGGGTGGTGTTGTCATCGACAGGGGGTGGACGAGGTTTGTCCGGCGATTGCTTAATTTGAAGCATGGCTGAGGGCGATGAAATGAGCAAAGGGTGAGGTGAAAGAGATGAAGAATGATGGATGATGGAATGGAAGGGTAAAACGAGGAAAAATACCTGAACAAGCGCAGAGTCGGTATGATGGTTTGTTTACAATTACGATCCGATGGTGCATGAATGCCTATACCCAGGTGGGCAAGTACGTCCAGAGGAAGGAGCGACTTCTTGAGGATTACATGGACCTTGCAAGGAAGCTGGGATAGCTGGGAATCTGAGAAAATATTGTAAACATACATGTCGATTGGTGACATCCGTTGGAAACGACTATAGAAAAGTGACAATATGATACCGATATGAGCCCATTTCATGGCAGTTTACCGCTTCTTGATACTGACATCAATCTTTCCAATGCCCCAGGCAGCGACAAAGACTGTGAGCAGACCCGCGAAGATTGTGAAAGGCTTGCGCAGGGCATCGATTTTGGTGTAATCGTACGTGACCTAGTGGCGAATCAGCATAACTGCGAGATGAACAAACGACAATAAAGACCAATACTTACCACGAACTTGGAGTCACGCGCTTCGTCGGTCAGACTGTCAACCTCCAGGGTCAAGGTGGTCCGGCCTAGAGTATCCATGTAAGTCCTGAGAGAGCTCACGTGAGCGTGAATGTGATTCGCGCCAGGAAGGCCATTGCTATTAGTTCCCTCAAGAATCTCGAAGCGGACATTGTGAGAACCTTCGGGGAGAACAACGCGAACAATCACACGCTCATACTGAATACCCTCAGCCATCTTAGGGCCCTCAATAAGCGGGGCCTTGAGGACATAAGAGTCAGAGTCGACGCCCGCAGCATGACGCAGGAACGAAGCAAGGTCATTGTTCCATCCAATACGGAAGCTGTAGTTCCAGCCTCCGAAGATCGGGTAACGGGGCTTCAACTCCAAGCTACCCGCGCTCTTACCAACACTCGGACGGTAGCGGCTGGTCGAGACATTGCCGATGTCGTCAATAAAGTACGGATCGACAGAGCCAGGCAGAAGCGGATATGTCAGCTCGCGAACGGCCGAAGTAGGCGCTTTCTGGTAGTTTGCGAAGGTCCATTCGACACGCGAGAACTGGTTGGTCAGCTTCGAGCAGTTATTGCGCAGCCAGTACCGTTCCTCGGTTGCAAGGTTGCCGCCCCAGTGCGAGACTTCCAAGTCACGCTCCAAAAGGTTTACGGTGATTATGGGCTTAGTGAACTCGTAGCGGACGGTGACTGGGTACTCGGTGCCAGGGACCACCTTGGCCGTGTTATACGGACCGTAGGTGTATGTGGCACCCTTGCGCTCGGGGTCCGAGCCGGACTTGAGACCATCAGTTGTTGTGTAATCCGGCACATTGGTGCTGGGGAATTTCAATTTGGTCTTCTGTGTCTCCGTCGTGTAGGCAGATGGCATGTAAGCGGAGAAGGAGTAGGTGAGGTATTGCTTGTCCGCCTGTCCAATGGTCGCGGGAAGCGGGCTGAGAGAGGAAAGCACCGAGTACGAGATTCCAAGAGTAATCTGCGACTTCGGGGCCAAAGGCTCGGGGAGGTGAATGACAAAGTACTGGTTGCCGCTGTTTCAATAGATGTTAGAATTGGTGTCACGGTGTATATCCCTCGCTCACTACAAGGCTAGACCCCTGGCATGGCCATTGGCCTCCCAATTGATACTCACTCAGATGATACAGCTTCAGTGTAGTCCACATCGAAGCGTCCCTTCTCGGGGGCCTTCTTATCCCTCACTTCGAAGCCCCCAATACGGTCAAACACTTCGGCAGGGAAGGGGATGTAGTAGTCGTTCTGAGGCTTCTTATCGACATTCTCCACAACTACATTGATTGTTTCCCGCACATAGCTCTTTTCAAGATTGGTGTTCCGAACCAGATTTGTGTTTTTGAAAACCTGCGGGGGTTTGAAGCCGGACGGAAGATCCAATCGATTGGGCGTAGTAAGGTTGGTTGCGGCGCACAGGCTGGGCGCGAGCAGCGCGAGCACCGTGGCGGTGAAAAACCTCATTCTGAGTACCTGGAGGACACGATTTCTCCAAGGTGCCAAAGGTTCAAGAATCCAAGATGGGATTGTGTCTGGTCGATGAACCTTGGAAAGCTTGCGAGGCTGATGATACGTGGTCCCCATTGTATAATTAGGGTCGCCGAAGCGGCCACATCGCGCACTCCGGCTTATCGCTGATAAGGGTCTACAACATAGTTGATCTCGGAAGCTTCTCCTCATCTCTCCTCATCCCGCATCTTTACTTCTTGCATACTTGAATCGCAGGTTCTAATTGGCTATAGGCACATCTGAATGGTTCGTTAGGTTATCTTCATGTTATCCCGCACGATGCTTGCCTCTCGGGCTTCTCTAAGGTCCGGCTGTTTGAGAGGAACCCAACTGTCGTCTACTCGTCGTTACCACGGTCTTGCCCAGAGCAAGTTCTTTCAGGTGTCAGAAGAAGTGCGTGATGCAGTTGCTACAGGCAAACCAGTCGTCTCACTCGAGACGACAATCTATACACACGGTAAGTCTTCTGTGTTCACTCCTGGGAGTGAAGAGCTTTGTTCAAAAGCGGGGAAGCCAAGACTGATCGGCTGTAGGTTTCCCTTACCCTGATAACATTGCTCTCGCCGCATTGCTGGAGTCTGCTGTGAGAGCCAACGGTGGAGTTCCTGCAACTATAGGAATCCTTGGTGGTGTGGCCAAAGTTGGCCTGAGTGCGGAAGAGCTTATCGAGCTGGCCTCGACAGCCCAAAATAGAGCGCTCTGAAAGTGTCTCGTAGGGATCTTGGATATATCTGTGGCATGGTGAGTCAGCTCTAACAATGGCTTGGAGGATTGAAACTGATCCGTATTAGGGCATGGTTGGTAAGCCAATGTACGGCGGTACTACAATCTCGGGCACTATGATCCTGTCAGAACTAGCTGGCATCAAAATTTTTGGCACCGGTGGACTAGGTAAATCCAACGATCAAAGCTCAATTGAAGAAAAAGCCCATCTGACCTGCTCTAGGTGGTGTGCATCGCGGAGGTGAAAACTCAATGGATATCTCTGGTAGGAGAAACTGTCGAATCAAAAGCGGCATCAATATTGACAAATGATTATAGCCGATCTTACTGAACTTGGGCGCACCCCCGTGACGGTGATTAGCTCTGGGTGCAAGAGCTTCTTGGACATTCCTCGAACGCTCGAATACCTCGAGACTGAAGGTGTCTGCGTGGGTACATTCGCAGATGGCCGTGATGGCCCCGTTGACTTCCCTGCTTTCTTTACACGAGAGAGTGGTATCCGCAGTCCCCGTGTCATCCAAAATGAAGCTGAGGCTGCTGCCATAGTTTGTAAGTTTACCCCCATGTGTTGGAAGTTACAGTCGCGTTGACGGAATCTCCAGATGCGCAATCAAAGCTCCCGGTATCCTCCGGTATCCACTTCGCCAACCCCGTCCCCCTGGAGTACTCAATCTCCAAGGCTGAGATGGATCTTGTTATTGATGAAGCTATCCGTCTTTCCCATGTAGAAGGTTATCACGGCAGTGACAACACGCCGTTTGTGCTTGCTAAGATCAAGGAACTAAGTGGCGGAAAGAGTGTAGTCGCAAATCGGGCGTTGGTTGAGTCCAACGTCAAGCGTGCAACCCTAGTAGCTGTGGAACTTGCCAAGCTTGAACAAGCTGACCTAGGAACAGGGTCTCGGTAAGTTTTGTTTCTAGATATGAGATGCGAGATTCAATCAATGCTAAGCTCGGATATCTCTTTTCCTATAGACACATGCCATCAATCCCAGGTGTAGCCTTCTCAAGTCAAGTTGCCTCGCAAGTTGAAGATATCCCGAAACCAGCCATCACCGAGGCACCTATTATACCGACGCTAAAGGCAGATGTCGTGGTTGCTGGCTCGCTAGCCATCGATCTATCCTGCGACTATACTCCGTTCGGAGACGAACTCACACAGGCTGCACCAGTACCACATACCTCCAACCCAGCAATTATCGGACAAAGTCTAGGCGGCGTTGGCCACAATGTCGCCGTTGCTGCCAACTACGTCGGCAGCGACGTCCTCTTCTGCAGCGTCATTGCAGACGATCTCAGCGGCCGCGCCGCACTATCAACCCTTGAAAAAGAAGGCCTCAGCACCGCAGGCATCCAAGTCCTCCCAGCGACACCATCCACCCGCACAGCACAATACATCGCAATCAACGACGTCAAAAAAGACCTTTTAATAGCCATGGCTGATATGGGCATCATCGAGCTATCCGAATCCCAAATCGACTTTGACGGCTTCTGGGAACCTCTCCTCGAACGCACAAAGCCAACCTGGGTCGTCGTCGACGCCAACTGGCGGCCCGACGTGATAGCCAAGTGGAGTGCTGTAGCACGCAAACACGGTGCACGCGTAGCCTTCGAGCCCGTTTCAACAGCGAAATCTCGACGTCTATTCGGCAGCGATGCAAGCAGCACCGGCCCGACTATCGGTCCTAATCAGACTGTCCCAGATAATACTATCAGTCTTGCGTGTCCAAACCGCCTTGAGCTGGCGGCTATGTACACCGCTGCGCGGGAATCACTTCTGTTCGAGTCGGCCGGATGGTGGCATATCATTAACTCTATGAACATGTCTCCGACAGGCTCGCGTGAGCGCCTCATTGCAATCACTTCACTGTCTCTCGTCGACGAGGGTCTTCCGCAGCAGACTGTTCAGCTCCTTCCCTTCATTCCCTGTATTGTTACCAAGCTCGGTGGGGCGGGTGCGTTGCTCACTCAGCTTCTGCCGCCTGGTGATCCCCGTCTTACGGACCCGGAGTCTGCGCCGTATATTCTTGCTCGCGCGTGGCCTGGGTCGGACGTGCCTTTCGGCGGTGTTTACATGCGTCTGTTCTCGCCTGACATAATTCTAGATGCCGAGGACATTGTCAGTGTCAATGCGGCGGGTGATACGCTGCTAGGTGTTGTGGTGGCAGGATTGGCCAAGGATCCTTCCGTGCGCATTGAGAATGTCATTCCAATTGCTCAGGAGGCGAGCCGGAAGACATTGGCTAGCGCTGGAGGTGTGAGCGAAAAACTGGTTGAGCTGCGGGACTCATTGGGGCTGTAATATCTGTAGCTGTGGCAGGACCTTGGTACTAATGTGACATTGATGTTTTGAAGTCTGAGGCTCTCCATGTGAAGTGAATGGCTTGGGCTTTTCGGACTAATGTACCTATACATCGGACTTTCCCGTTCCGTTCAAGTGCTCACCCCTAGCCGCTTTTTGACGTTCCTGCAACTTGTAGGGCTGAGGTCCACTGTGGGGGATTTCAGTGCCGGATGAGGTTCAAAAGCAACCCGCCATATGGCGACGAAAGAGAGTTGTTCTAAGTAGGTATGTAACAACTTTGCCGTCTTGTAGAGTTTGTTAAGTATGACCCAGTCCCTCTTGCGGTGCCACAGGGGGACTGGGTCACGTTGCTCTGTAAGTGAAGTCCAAGCAAATATCTGATATGATGAAGAAACCGTGAAGCACCTAGCGACGACCCATTGCAGGATGTAAAAGGAGTGATACATGACAGTTAAATGACGTGGCGAACAACTAGTGTTCCCCTAATATTGCTATCAAGTCCTATGCATTAGCTAGTCTGGATCTCGCCTTCAGTAGCACTGTCCGAGCAAGGCTCCCATCCCGCTATAGCCATCTCAAACGACTCGAATGAGAAAGCCGGTGCCACCGTGCACCCGACGAGAGTCCAATGCCCTAGGCTTTTCGCATGCTGCCACTCTCCACGCTCAACGATAGCCTGTGGCCGTTGGCCCTGTATCAACAGAAATTAAGCATTGTCAAGCCGCAAAACATATTGCAACCCTTGCATTAGTATATAGAGAGAAATCACATACCGTCGCAAAATCAATCCCCAGAATCGTGTCCCGGGTGGGTTTCCCGTCATTCCAGGAGAGTGAGAGTTGCATAGGGGCACCAGCGTAGTAATGCCATATCTCGGCACCATCGAGAACACGGTGCCATTGCGAGAGACCACTTTTTCCCTCGAGGAGGTAATAAATACAGGTGCTATGCGAGCGATCGTTTGATGAATGGCGGTCGCGGAAGGTCTCGACATAATATCCCTTTTCTGGATGTGGCGAGAGATTTAATTTCTTGATAATGTCTTGTGCAGAAGAATTGTTCGCCATGGGGGAAATCGTAGAGAGGGTGAAGATATGAGTTTAGAAGTGGGAAAGAGATTGTGGCAATCAAATAGACCTGTACCCTCGATTAGTCACAACAGGTTGCGATATTCGTGCCATTGCTGTTCTCCCAGTAAATCAAAGATCAGTGGCGTAATACATTGTAGGGCGTCTAAGAAAAGGGAAATGAGCACTAAGTATAGCAATCATTGAGCTGGGACATGCGGATAAGTTATAATACCCTAAATCCTTAAAAGGCCAATCCCGTACAAACTGAGATGTGCACAAAAGCTTCATTAACCCAACACCCAGAGATGCATGCATTCTGTATAGGTTGAAAAGCTTCATTTTTATTTGCTGCCTAAGGCTAGCAGAACAGAGGTGCAGTGCTGACTAAGGGGCCTGTGAAAGTTCTTCATGTCTCTCTGCCAGGCCTAAATCAGGCATTCAGGCATTCAGGCACCACTTGGGCTTAAAGAACCCTGACCGCTATACAGACAAGAGAAAGAGAAACACAGGATTTGATGATGAGTGGATATTATTTTCGTACTCCCTCTTGATGTCCATATAGTCATCTACAAGTCTGAAAAGCAACCCTTGAAACACCACCCAATACTCAGTAGCCTTTAGCGGCTTTTGACACTGGCACAAGTCCCGGATCCAACAAGCCAACCTGCACAAGCACACCGGCCTGGTCCCAATAAAGACTCTGCCGTGTAATATGGCCAGCGCTGAAGCTTGCCACCACAACAACAATGACCTTGATCTCTCGATTTGTCGGCGAAACGCCAGGGAGTAGCCATGGAATCTCAGCAGTATGCCGACAAGCGAACAACATCTCGTCCACGATGCGGTCCACACCTACAGTGCGCGACAAAAGACGGATATGCTGATCAACCGGTCCAGCAGGGATATACGTATGAGTGAAGAAATCTCTCAGAGTTGAGATGTCAGAGCCTGTGATACAAATATCAGTAAATTCCCGAAAAAGATCGTAATAAATTCCAGATCACATTAAACTCACCCCCTGTGTCAGTTGGAATACAATTCACGAACACCTCGCCAGCCGGACACCCCATCTCACCATAATGGCCGTGACCAGTCAACATCCTGACCGCAGGCTCAGAGCCAGAACCTTCCAAATTCCGTTTCCGCAACTCCAGCTCGCCGAGCACATGGTCCCAGTACTCTTCCCAGACTGTTTCAATATCAATAACAGCCCAGTGACTGCCGACATTGAATGAGCGTCTCAGACACCCCAGTGCCCGACTCCACGCTAGTTGCGAGCTGATTTCGTCATCGGCGTTCAAGTCCCAATCCACCTCGCCTTCTTTCTCTTCGGGGACTTCCCGCTCCGCGAACCCTGCTCTAGATCCCGGGTACGTGTACACGTAGCAACGGTGTTTTTTCTTGTAGGTGACGTCGCCTTCTGAGACACTCAGACCGATCCATGGCCATAGCGCGCAGGGCTGGACTCGTGGGCCTGGGATGTGGATCTGGATTGGAAGATATGTTGATTTGAAAACTGGGCCGAAGATTGAACTTGTGCTTGAGCAGCCTGGTGGCTCGCAGTTTTCTTTTTCCTTGTAGGTAAATTGGTCTGTTGAGGAGAGGGGGTAGTAGACTACCAAGGCGCACAGGTGCGGGAATGGGTTTGTGTTGCTGGATAATGTGTGGTGTAAGGCTAGGAGGAGGTAGGCGGGTCGGTGGTATGCTGGGGTATATGGTTAGCTGGGCTTTCCAAACTTAATGCAGAACTGAGGTATCGGCTTCAAATAATGCAGCCTGTTAACAAGAACTAAGAAAGGGAAGCCGAATAAATGACGTACCGACTATCGCATACCGCTCTCCATTCTCTAGTTCGTCTTCTTTCTCGTGCACCGCATTCTTCAACGCTTTTGCATCCTTCTCTTCATCCCCACTGCCGAGGAAGGAAATATAGATCACATCGAATCCTTCCCCCTGAAAACGGTGGACAACGTGGGTATCGAACTCCACGGTGTCGGAGATCAGGAGAAGGTGCCGGGGGGTTGGCTCTTCATATCGCCAGCTTCGTTTGCCAGAGTTCGTGCTCACTGTCCGATATATTCCGTGAGGATGCGATGCTGCGGAATTGGGGCCAGTAGTATCTGCGTCTATGTCCGGTGGGCTACTGCCGGAGCTTTGGGCCCGGCGTCGAGTGAGGCGTTGGAATACGTTGACCATGGTCCGAATTGGGTGGTTGAGTAGATGAGTTGTAGACTGGGAATTTGGGAGGACATGCAGTCCTGCTTACATGTAGTAAATATTTGATTGAGGCTCCAAATTCTCGGATTGCTGTGCTTGGTATTGTATGTGTCAAGAGGGGAGAATAGATGTGCGCAGATCCTATAATATTTGGTGTTCCTTGGTACAACGTCATCGAGAAATAGATGACTTTTCTATATTCTAAGGACTAGGTGCACACATTTGACGATAGAAGTTGAGTAAATATAGAACTGACAAAATTTAATCTAAAGATCCTTGGAGTCATCTTTTTTTTTTCCAAAAAAAAAGAGGATGTCTCCCCGACCCCCTTGTAGGTGAAGGGGATGCTGGCAGCGGCAGGTCGTTAATTAACGGAGATGCAGGCCCGAAGACATTGCCATTCTAAGGTTGGCAACCGACCCTCACGGACGAGACTGGTGCTGGAGCGAGCCACCCCACGGCTCGGCTCCTGAGGAGCTTGTAAGTCGGCCCCCACCGTGAGGGACCTGATGGAGCATTGGTGGGCCCCTCTCGGCAGCTGGGCAGCCCGGGAAACTGGTTGGTGGTACGCGGGGCCCGGGAAGATTGGCTGCAGGGCTGGCAATGGTTGGCAGCAGCCCGGGAATCTTGTCGACGGAGCGATTTGTGGTGAGGGGTCCCGGGAAGATTGTTGACTAGGGAGTGAGCCCAGCCGAAGGGGCGCACTACACACCACGCCCCCGTCGCCTGAGTGATGGGGAAGAATAATGGCTACAGTGGGTGCAGGTCTTGGAGTCCATTACGCCAAAGGAGAATAGCTTTAGTAGCCTGAGAACAACAGCTTCAGGGAAATGGGTTCAATGGGTTAGACTGAGATGTAGTTTCCAGGGCATGTGACCACAGACAAACATACGTCCACCGTGACAGGGAACATCTTCTTTCTCTCTCCCGCGCAACCAACCACTTTGTCTTCTAAACTCGCCAAAAAAAAACGTAGAAAAAAAGTAGTAAGTGAAGATCCTCTATATCTCTACGCAATCTGTTTCATGGTGCGTCTAATACTGATATGTGTCATTAACTCTACGATAGAATGGCGGCGTCTCCTAATTTTGGTCTTCATGAGTCGCTAATGCTCTCAGCAGCGACGAGGACCATTTTGATATATGCATGGAATGCTACATCATGGCAGAAGCTGTGCCTTTGTTTCCAACCTCAAATAGAGGGAATGAATTCCATGAAAGCAGTTGATGGAACGCTGAAATCTGGCTGCCAGTTGCATCTAGTAGAATCTGGGATGACATAGCAACAAAAATTTTCTTCAGGTCTATACAGCGAAATGATCTGTGCTCTAAAAGAAAAATCGCAATGCAGGATAATCATTTCACCAACCCCGAATGGCATGATATCTGACCCCACTTAATCAAAGCTCACCAACCACCCACGATCCTCGCTGACTTTTTCAGATGTTTTACCGCTGTCAACAAGATAGCACTTGTATGCCTCGCGCAGCAGACTCTCCCGTGCAACCTCACAATCCACCCGAATATCTTCCACTAACGCCTCCAGTGAAACATAATCAAACTCAGGTCGGATATAGCCCAGAATCAGCAGGTTTAGTCGCGTTTTATAGAAATCCGGCAAGCGATTGAACTTGGTCTGGCCCTCCTGCCCTGTAGCAGTGGGTGATGGTTCCGCAAGAGCGGGCATGATATGGATTTCCTGAAGTAAGCAACCACGTCAGTCCGATACACCACCAAAATGTGGGCTTCGACATTTGACAGCATTTTTGTCTGGTTTATCATGTATCACATACCACAGATCGCACGGTGTTCTTATAGAAAGGATTATATCCGATACTCAACACAGCGGGCAAAACCACTGCGGTAGATGTGCTGCCCTCTGATGTCTCAGGGTGGTATGTTTTTGGGTCGAGCGCTACAACGCCGTAGTAGACGCCAGTTTTCAGCTCTGGGTGCTTCTCGGATAGGTCATCGGCGGGGATGTTGGCGGTGGGGATTCCGAGCTATAGCCATCCGGGGGAGTGAGTCAATGGTAGGTCCATAATTCCAGTTGCGATATGCGATTATAACAACCATGTTGGGTTCTCTGATTCATGAACGTACGTCTTTGCTCCCGCGGCCAAATCCCTTGATCACTGGCCCTGACAATCTTACGGGGAAAGGACGTTCTGGGCCGGCATCAGGGCCGGCTAGCGGGTCGCGCGGCCTGGACATGGCGGATTCTGTCGGGTGAGGGTATAGTTAAGCGTGAATATTGTAGCACAGACAAATGTACCTATATTGTCGTTTTGTCCGGTGTGTACGATTATGTGATTTAGCAATGGCTTGGCGTGATGCTGGCGTTGAGTGCGTCTGAATACGACTGGATTATTTAGTGGGGGTTATCGCGATAAGGATGCACAACTTGGCGCCTGAGGTATTAGGCATCAATCCACATGCAATTTCAAAGTTTGATCGAAAGCTGAATCAAGCTTATTTCGTTGTTTGAAGGTAGATCCGTGAATGGTCAAGGGCTTAATGAGGTCAGAAGTGACCCCACTCAATATAATGGCATTATGCTAATACAGTAGATCCATCCTGTCCCAGAGATATCATTTTTTGTCCCTTTTGAGCGCCGCAAAAAGAAAAATCAAACAGGAAAGCATATCGACAATCCTGGAATTAGTTCCAGGAAACATAACTTATATACGAGAATGTTGAACGAGAAAAGACCCCGTCGGCTAGTGGTCCGAAGGAAATCAAAATCAAAGAGAATCACACAATCCCCAAACCAGGAAATATGTACCAGGTAGAATAGCAGAAGAAAAGAAGACAGGCCCGATGTTAGGCCTGCCGAGGGTATGAAAAGGTGATCTGAAACAAAAGCAGAAAACGAGAAAAAGAAGGAAGTTAAATGCATGGCAAGAACTAGATGACGGGTTAGCATGAGTTCAACTTCTTTACACGAGGTTGTGCAACCTTGGTCAAATACTTACATTCATCACAATCAGCATAGGGATATCGAAAACATCGCGTTTCACTGTCCAGCAGTACGCGCAATCGACCTTTCCGTCCTTGAAACCAAGCTGGTTCATGCCAGCCTCGCCAGCAATGCCACCTTTGCGGAGGTGGTGGTTCCACTTTCCGTTATCGTCAGACTGTGCACCTTCCATGTCCTCCTTGGTCTTGTATTTGAGCAGCTTGCACCGAGTCATGACACTACCACGAGAATCGCCGAATGCCAGGCGCGCAAAGTCCTCGTAGAACTCTACGACGCTGTCATCGTCAAGGAGCTCGGCCAAGAATACCGGCTGGGGGCTTCCAGTTCTGGAAGTCTCTAATGTTGAGCCGCGCGGTGTGAAACTACCGCGTGACGTTGTCCCAGACTGGTGTCCCCCCGAAACACCGGTGTTGACGTTGAGGTTTGTCTGCTTTCCTAGAAGCACGTCTTTCTTCCATCCGGTTAAGATGCTAAACTCCTTGCCTACGGCGGCGATCTCGCCGGTGCGGCGGCAGACGATGGTCGGCGTTCCACATGCATTTATAAAGTCCTCGTACTCCCAGAGAGTTCGCTGGAAACACTTTTCCATGAATATGAGATCATCCCGATTAAGCGTCTTAGTAGTTGCGATAAAAGACGGTCGAATAGATGCAAGCGCCTTGGCAATTTGGACGGTCTTTTGCGGTGAAAAGCGGCGTTGGATGAAAGCAGTGAGATTGTGGAAGCCGCTTGTGTAAGCATAGGGCTCCTTCACACTTTCGTATATTGAGGAAGGATTGCGGTGGCGCCTTTTAGAGCCAATATGCAGATTTGGGTGCTTTAAGATCGACGCTGACGCCACCTGGCGTTGTCCATTCGGCACCAGGTTGTTGGACTTTGGAGCAGGAGCGACATTGTTATATGAACCGTCATCAAATGTAGCCGTTGCAATGTTCGGACTTGGGGCCGAGCCAGGGCTAGTGAAGCTTGCTGGCCCACTTTCAATCGCAAACGCATGTGGTGCGTTTCCCTTCATGTGTTCGGGAAGCATGGGATTTTGGCCATACACACCGCCGATATTCACATGCTGGCCCGAGGCCGGCCCGGTCGGCCATTCATTTAAGAGAGGATCGCCAAACATGAAAGGCTGATTTCCCGGGCTTTCTCCGAAACCAGGAGCTGGTGTGGAGAACTGGGCCGATCCACTGCGGCCCATCGACCCTCGCTGTCCTGCAGAATCAGTTGGAGAGTCACCGGCCGCCCCGGTGGCCATGTGCCCAAGCATGCCAAATTCCAGAGCACCGTATCGATTTTCGAAGTTCATGCTTGATAGATCGAAGTTGAAGAGCGCTGGATCACTGGGATCAAAAAATGGCCCCGCGAAAGGATTTTGGGACTGACTTGTATCCCCAGAGAGAGCACCTGGAGTAGGTTGTTGGTTTACAGTCGATGTCAGACTTGGGTTTCGACCATTGGTGCTGCTCTTCATGTTAAAAGTAGGTGAAACGGGTGATTGCGTGGTAAAAGGGCTTTGGCTCATGGAGGATTCTTGGTAGGGATTGTAAGATCCTGCCTGCGTCTGTGGCGTAGGGTAAAAGTTGTTATTCGTGGCATTTGTTGGTTGATGGCTATGTTGATGGCTATGTTGATGGCTGTGTTGCTGGTTGCAGTTGACAGCATTTGCACCATTCCTAGATATAGGCAAATTATTGCGGAGCGTGTTGTTATATAGATTGGTGTTGTTGCTGCTACTAGCGGCTGGCATCAACGCCCCATCGGGAGCATCATGGAGATACTTGGCCTTCTTGCGAACACCATCATGGCAAGCATCTTGAAGACCACGTTTGATGCAACGCTGACACGGTCTTTCGTCGCCTAAACCCGATAAAAATTAGTCAGATACTTAACAAGGGCCGGAATCATTCAATTTATCATCATACCACAAGTCAGATGAGCTCGTTGGCATGCAAAGCAAGCTCGCCGAGCCTTCTTCCGTCGCGGTCGGGAAGGGTCTTTAGCATTGGCAGCTTTGTGGTCCGCTTTGCTATCGCCGTTAGTTTTGGACTTTACGTCCAATTGTTCGTATTCCGTAATGTCAGCGGAGTCACGATCCCCACTGTAGTCCCCTGCAGGAACCGGAGAGCCGTTCTTGGCTTCCATGTTCACTTCGGCATGTATCCCGAAAACGGGGGTCTATAAATACGTCCACAAAAGTGAGATAATTCGGTGTTTCAAACCGCATAGGCCACTTTCCGTGCCCTCTTGTGTTTATTTGAATAAACAAAGTGTGGTGGCGACAATACCAATGACACCATCCGAGCTGCGATCTCGGCGGGCGAGCGGATCGGATCCACGTGCACAAGATTCCGCCCAGCTTGTGATAGAAGAGACGACCAGGAATTCTAGTTGTCCGTTTTGAGACTTAGAATACTCCCAAGTCACCTTTCGAAGGTTGAAGGGATATCCAGACCGTGGTTCCTATAATCGAGCGTTTGCGACTACAGTTGGTGGATAATCAGAACCGGAATCACGGCGAGTCGAGTCACGGGTGTAACGGGGGACAATCGACTGGAGATCCGACGGATGTACGATGATCTGACACATTGAAGGATTTCAATGTGGTTTGTATATGGGGTAAAATTGGCGCAAAGCTGACAGAAAAATCCCGCAACGGTTCGGGGCTGAACTGGGAGTGGAGAGGTGGACAATTTCGTTCGGCTGCGGGGAAGGTGTGAATTTCTCTCCAAATATGAGAGCCGTGCCGATGCGAGGCCAGTCAGTAAGCTGGAGAAAGAAAGAAATTCGAGAGTCGAGGCAAATCTTATTCGCGGGGATTGTCGAAGAAGAAGTGGATGATTCCCAGAAGGGCTCTCGATCGGAGTGTTCCCGTGACTAGGTGTCTAAGCAACAGGTCCTCCAAGGTTTCCAAGGTTAACACGACACAGTCCAATTGTAAAGGACTTGTAAAGGAGTAAGTGAGACTCGCCTCAGAGACGATCAAATTTTTTTTAATCAAATTTTTGGGGGGATTTATTTGATTATTTCTTTTCGAATTTTAGCGCTATTATTTTCGCACTTCTAAAAAGGCGCAGGGCTGGCTATACTTCGTAAAACAGCCACTATATTTACCTAATTAATTTAAATGGCGTTTTCTTTTTTCTTCTTTTTTTTTTTTTGCTACCCAACCTATTAATCCCTCATTGGGCATGTTAAAATTTTAACAACTAATTCCGATCGAAAATATCGAGAGTAAAGAAGTGTTTAGTTCTTCAATTTCTTCTATAGAGAACTAGAGAACTAGAGAGCTAGATATGTACATCATACTCACGTTCAGGGCAATGGTCACTAGAGGCCGGCATTTGATTTTGCCAAGTATTACAGCTTTCACGGCATTACCGGAAACAACAAGTAATTTAGGCGCGTTCATGAACTCTGATTGGTTCAACTGCAATCCTGCATCAGATCGGGTTACGCGCATACCAGATGACCTGTCCTATTAGCAACCCCGCGGGGGCAATTGCGCACGTGCGGGAACTTCTCGATTGCATACTTTGTCTATTTTGTTTATTAACGTCCGATACAAGCATCTTCAATCGAGTCATTCTTCTTTTTCCAAAGCTGAATCAATCCCGAGAACCCCCGCTTTAGACGTTCTCGGCATCTGGCTCCGACCCGTTTCATTCCGAAGTTGGCTGAGTGTGGCTCTGCCGAGGCTAGACAGCTGTCAAGATATCTCGCTCAGCTATGACGGTTGCCATACTCCAAAGGAGGGATTGCCATATCTGCCTGTAGCCGGGGGGGGGGAATTGGTTGGGGATGATTGCCGTGACTGTATTCTAAGTCCACATGACACATTCGTATGCTTGGTAACTGGCCTAGCAGACTGGGGGTTGCTGTCGGAGAATTAAAGCTCGGGCCAGGTCCGTCCAATTTCTATTCTTGGAGTGGGTAAAGCCTTTTTGTTAGGATGTCAAGCACGCTAGTAACATCAATAATGACTTTATGGTCTGCTTAGGATCAAGAACGACCAGATTGTGTATGCAAGATGCCTACAGATGAAAGCAAGTTGAGCTAGGAAAGGAAGCATACATCCTTGCCGATCATGCGTATTATTGACTATGATTATCTGCATTGGCTTTTAAACTGCAGATGGTACAGCAGCCGACGAGTTAGGTCTTGATCTATGGTTGCAGGCTAGGTGCCGACCCTATCATCCCCAGTAGCCAAAACGTCTCAGCCCAGGAGGTTCCCTAGCATCTGGTTATGGCATGCCGTGTTCATCGCCTACGGCACACCGTATTAAGGCAAAATCAATTGGTAAACTGTTGAGATGCAATGGCACCGACATTACCTGTGGCTGTCCTTGTAAAAGAGCTATCCAGCAAACAACCAACTCGCTTAAGCTTAAAGTGTGTACGGTGTATTATATGTGCACGGAAGTATCGATCACGCCTGTGATTTCGCGAATCGGCTCTTGCTTCGTATCCAGCTCCCATGCCGAAAGAATAGGTACCTATTGTGAATATTAGCACAACGTTCAGTTGACAGAGCAGCTTACGTTGAGCTGTGTGTCTTCAGAGCCACATGCAACTGAAATATCAACCTTTCATGCTCAGTGCGACTCGATCGAGGTTCTTGATGCAGGGGGAGATTAAATGGGTAGGCCATAATGTAAGAGTAAATCAAGTATGTCAAAATCAGCACTTACGGGAAAGGGGCCATGACAAGGGTCAGGAACGCTAACAAGGAAGTTGCCCAGTGATATCCGAGGTTGTGATACACTGCATAGCCGTTAGCCATAGTCGTTACGTCTCAACCGTGTGTAGGCAAGAGGATAGCCGTCAAGCATTGAGGAAGAGCTACAGATCGGCCTGTTGAGAATGCAACGCATCGACCCGCATCGGAAGGATGCACTGCATGCAGAACACTGGGTTCCAATTCTTGTCGCAGCACAGAGACAGTATCGACAAACTTACTTTGAATTCCAAACAGTGGAAAAATGCCTCCAAAGGATGATCGAGTGAAACTGTTCGCTGCCAGAGCGCTAGCTGCAAACGTTGGGTAAGCATCGACTAGGAATGTGAAGATGCCCGAGTAAACCAGTATTGTCCTAACAGTAACAAAACCCATCAGCCAAAAGAAAGCCACAAGGTAGACAGGGATTTTGGGACCAACGGATGGCCGCCCAGTCAGATGAGATTGCAAGGTTGATCTTACCCTGCACCAAAAACAGCACTGCCAATGATAGGTGCAATCCAATGGACATTAGGGTAGATTGTCCAAGCAAAAATGAAAAGTCCCATCGTAACCAAGGGTCCTCCCAGGATGGCTAGAACATCAAAGTCAGCTATCAATTTCTTGGAACCTTGGCACCTGAGTAATTTGTTGGCGAGCTTACCGGGGGGCAGTCGCCACTCCGGCTGGAAGTCATCGAGCTTTTTCGTCGCTTTCTCATGGTTGCGCTCCAAGCGAACGTAATTTCGGCGCCAGATAGGATCTGACAAAATGGCTATAACCATTCCGACAAACAAACCAAGGAAACACATTCCACGCTGCCAGATTGCTAGATCATAGACATCATGGAAAACTAGCTGGAAAGCACCAAAGAAGAGGTACAGAATGCCCAACAGAATGGCCGAGAAAATGCAAAGGCATAGACACATCGGCTCCGTCAACAGAAGCATAGGGCGGTACATAGAATGTACAACCGTCTGAGTTATAGAACGCTGTAGCTTTTCGATGGGAGCTTTCCATCGCTCGTCTCCGGTTTCCCGACGTAGCTTCTGCGCCTTACGCCTCAAAAGTCTAGAACATTCTCAGCGTCGCAATTTTTCCATGAACTGGAAACACATACACTGGGTGATAGGTCTCTGGAACCAAGAATATTATCGAGGCAAGCATCGCCCCTGTCCAAATCAGGAGCACATAAAACACCCAACGCCTGTGAGTGGTATAAGCTTCAGTTGCGACTAGAATTCAACAGAAACATACCATGTGGTAAATGCATTGATGAAGCCTCCAACCCTAGTGTTTTATTGTTAGTGTTGTAACAGAAGGTCATCTAATTTCCGGACAATAGAGAAAACCTACAAGGGGCCTACTTCGGGGCCTATAAAAGGGCTCGCAGTGTAGAGCATCATAGGAAACGCAAGCTCATGGCGATCAAACATGTCACCAACAGTACCTCCAGCGACACTCAAAAAGGCACTGCCTGACAGTCCACTGAAAAACCGAGCGATAATCATGGTCTCGGTGTTCTTAGCCACCGCGCATGGAATTAACCATAGGAGAAACAGCGAGAATGATGTGATGTAGATGATTCTCCGGCCAAAGAATTCTGATAATGGACTTAGGAACAATGGCCCAATACCTAGAAGCGTTAGCACACAGTCCAGCCCGCGAAAGAGGACAAGATCAGCACGAACCAAGACCCCAAATGAAAAAAGACAATCCAAGAGTCGCAACTTCTTGTGAGCATCCGAACTCACTCATCAACTGGGCATATGTCGTGGTATACATCGAAGAGGCACAAGTCCTACATGAAATTGATCAGTATCTACGCGGCGCAGAGAGGGCAAGACTAAACTGGCTGTATACTGACACGCAAAGTGAGCCAAGGGAGACAATGATGACAACTAACCACCGTCGGGGTTTGCTCATATTGCGCGGATTCATAGGATCGTTCTCGTCCCAGCTCACGGTATATGCTCCATCCTCATTCGCCACCACAGCCTCATCGACTTCATGGCCGCCAATACTGACACCGTCGTTCAATGACCAGCTGCGTTCCAGGGACCTGGATGTGACTGATTTGGACGCATTCGAGCGCTGTTTCTGGAGCGGCGCGTTGCCTTCGTCGTGAGTACCCGGGGAGGTTATCGGAGCATAAGCTACACCCTCGGACTTGGTGTGGTCGAATTGGTCGTCGCTCCTATCGCTAGAACGTCTTTTAAAGCCAGTGTGGGCTTTTTCTTCGCCGAGGTCTAGCTGCGACACGTCGGTACTTGACCGCGGAGACATGTCAAACGTCAGGCTTGCTCATCTGGTCTGTTTTTGTGTAAGCGATGAGATCATTGAAAACAAAACGAATGGTCTGGAGCTACCTAGATATATATACTCCGTGTTGTCTCACAGATATTTGGTTTACTATGTTGTATGTTGCGACGGAAGCTAAAGGAGTTGTCCTTAGCGTCTAGGATGGAAATCAAAAGTACGAGCTGATCAATCAACGCGATCTCGGGAATAAACAAGTCGGGGTCCTAATTCCGATTTCTCAAAGCCGACATCGGGAGTAGTCCCGTATAGCCAATTGATAGCCTTGGACATTGCGAATTGTATTTCTGCCAGAATTCTGATGGAATGTACCTAGATCCTATATTAAGCATGTGAATTTTCTTCCACCGGAGCATTGGTTGTTATCGGACGCCAAGAGCTTTCGTAAACACGTGGGAGCGTTTAAACCACATGGTGCAAATGTCTCCGAAACTACAAGTCTAGACACCAAATAAATGTGTTTGAGATAAGAGATATGTTCAATTAAGCTAGAGCCAGCACTACTACGCAACAGAATCAATTCATCAATGTCGCTCCCAAGTGACCGGGTACCCAAGCAAAAACCCCCAACCAACGGTCCTCTAGCCAGCCCAAAACTCCCGAAAGAAAACACCGGATCTCAAATCGAGATATTCCACAGAACCATCCCAAAGTTGAGCTGTACAAGAAGAGAAAGATGCACCAATAGATCCCAGAAATTTTGCTCAAGAGGACACATCCTCTACAAAGCCTGACTGAGCTGGCTCATGGCACCAGAAGCGTTCTCCTCGGCCCACGAGCCCCAAAGTCCCTGCTTGCTAGTGATCTGGAGGGGACCACCAATAGACTTAGCAACCTGGTCAACCTTAACAGCGTCTTTGGTGGCCAGCACCAAAACTTCGAAAAACATCTTGGTGGCGTCAGCCTTGCTGGACCGCTGCTCGGGAAGGAGATCCTGGAACAGCACGCTCTTCTTCTGCTCAGAGGCTGAGTTGCCAAGCTTCTCGCGGAGAATGTGCACAGCGTGCTTGGTGCCCATTGAGACCGGCTCGGTATCCACAGGGTGCGCCATGGTATCGTCCAACTCGTCCATGGCCTGGTTGTTGCCTTCGTCGTCACTCAAATGCAAGACAGGATCTACGTCATCTCCAGGGAACTCAATCTCAGAGCGCTGGTTTAAAGTCATATCGAGAGCAATCCCCTCGTCGATCGGGACGATGGCTTCCTCGTCACCAAGCTCCAGGGCAGGAATGTCAACGGCAGCCACATCCATATCGGAAATCCCACTATCGCGCTTGCGCTTCAGTTCACCGGCCTTCTTAACGGAATCCAAAGAGAGCATGCCGCGCAGCTCGGGTGCCCATCCGCGCCCACGATCCTCGCCAAACACACTAGACACAAATGTACCATTCTGCTGGCGGGTTATAAGGGTGAGCAGGACGGGGTCGCGAGGCAAGAATGATGCAGGTTTCAAAATCGAAGAGCGATTATTTTGCTGGTCCTTGAATTTGGAGCTGGAGATTGAGACTTGTTTGTCGAGTTCCATAAGCTTCTGGCGCTTGGTACGCCGACCCTGCTGGGCGCTAACAGCATCAGGGGTTGCAGATACACCCCGGTTAAATTCCTCTTCCAACTGATTCATCTGATCGGATCCAGCATCGGAAAGGGGGCTTTCAGAGTCACGCTCGAATCGGTTGTCGGCAGCACGGGGCGTCTCGCCACCACCAAAGTCGTCATCGTTGTTGAAGTCCATGGGAGCGTCTGGGAGTAGGTCATTCAGATTGTTGTGGACATCATCGCCAAGGTCCATCTTGTCGAGAGCATCATCATCTCCAAGGTCCAATCCCAGATCGTCGTCGTCATTGAATTTTCCAGCGTCGTTGAAAAGATCTTCCTCCACGGGACGAGGCGCGGGAGCATCTCGACCAATTTCCATAGTGGGGTCATTTCCAAGGGGCAATTCATCCTCGCCCAAGTCAAGATCAACAAGGGAAGGGTCCTCAAGACGTGCGGGTTCCTGAGAAACAGAGCGGCGGAAGCTGCTGTCAGGGAGGAATTGGCTTCCGAAGTCCACGCCACCAGGGCGCTTGGCAGCAGGCTCCAAGTCGAGGGTTTGAGGGAAAAGCAGAGACGTATCGAGGTTGGTGAAAAGATCAGATTCAGTGAGCACATCAGGAAGAGTAATGCCACCTGGGGCGACGACAGTCGAAGTCAAGTCATTGTTATTTGTGAGACGGAAAGCCTGATAGGTGATTAGATTGAATCAACTCAATGTTAATTTAAGAGATGCGTACCATTTTAATTTTCATAAGAGCTTCATTGCAATCGTCGAGGAGGTAGCGAGCCTTGCGGCTGTAAATTCGAACCACACCTAGCAGCAGTTGGCCACTCAATCGCAGAGCCATAGGAGCTTGACCCTGATCAACAATAGCATTGACACTGCTCTCAATATCCGACTGCAGGATATGCGATTTTGAAAGTTTGCGTTCGATGTTAGCCGACAGCCAAACGCGAGCCAGCGGCCCGGTTTTGGACAGAAGGGTCTCGGAGTAGAACATGGTATGTTTGTCGCAACAAGATGCTTTACAATGGCGAAATGTTTGTCACCGGATTCAATAGACGAAAGGAACCGCCCGGTGCGGGGGTGAAGTGTAGAAGGGCGACGCGCTGAAGCCAGAAAACAAAGACTTGTGCGATAACTCGCACTTGATAAGTGTGTGAAAAGGTAGATATGTGACTAAAAGGATTGAGGGTTTATCACTAGATCGGGTGAGTTCAAGACATCGAAAACGATGAAGATGGGGAGGGTATGTAGGCGCGAGGGATGTCTTCAAGTTGGCTGAGAAACCAAGGAGGAACGGAAGATGCGCGTCGGTGGGAATATCAGGCGGCAACCGCCTAGGCGTGATTTTTGCTGATGTAATTGAGGGGGCTGGGAATGTCGAGTCACGTGCGGGTACACAAAGGAGACTCTGTACGAGGTACCACAACAATGAATTTGCTAGCGAATAAACAAGTCTACGATCCAAGTAAAGAGTAAACAGATTTTAATGGACCTTGTACAAAGCGTTTTCGGAAACCGTCAAAATTCTTCTATATTCCATTGCTCTTATGGAGGACATCGTAGACACTGTCCTTCACGTGATGATTTGCGCTAGTATAAATGTAGTGTCCGGATAAACTCCACCCCGAAACATCTAGGCCACAACGGGTAAAGCATCATCATGGAAACTAGCCTCTTCGAAGTGGACTTGATGCTCTAAATGAGAATATCTTGCAGCTTGGGTTATAGCACAAGGCTCTTTCGAATTGGATTTTTGGTCTCCAGTTTTTCCCTCAGCCCCTTGTTCGCCGTTGACCGACTTGCGCCAACTCTGCAAATCTACCCGTTAGTCTAGCCGCCCCATGTGAAGCTGCTGCCAGATCGCAACTAACATGGATTGGCGAAAAAACAGTCAATTCTTATCGAGACGGGATGAAAATTTTTTTTGGCATATCTAACGTCTTAGCCTGTCGTCTTTAATACTCCATCCTTCAAAGCATGAGCAATGTCAAGGTCCGCAACACCTTCACTGTCTTTGCGTGATGCATCAAGCGCCGACTTCCTTCGACCTCCCTCCACAACACCTATGACAGGACGGCCAAATGCTCCATCGTTGGTAAGTATAATTACTTAATTTATGCACTGCGTGTGCTGTCTCCTTTCGCTGCGGCGTGGCGGCGTTAGACAATGGAATTTCTAACAGACGATCCTTTTTTCTTCCAGACATCCACCTCAACTTATTCGTGGCTCGAGCCTCATGAAACTGCAGAGCGATTACGTACCTCCCTTTTACACGGCCTGACACCCGCCGAGGCAGAGATACGCCTGGCTAGAGATGGACCGAACGAGCTTCCCCACGATGAGCCAGAACCCATCTGGCTGCGGTTTCTGAAACAATTCAAGGAGACGCTGATTCTCCTTCTTCTCGGCTCTGCTGCAATCTCATTTGTGATGGGTAATTACGACGATGCCATCAGCATTACTCTTGCCGTAACAATTGTTGTGACTGTTGGATTCGTTCAGGAGTATCGGTCGGAGAAGTCGTTGGAAGCATTGAGCCGACTTGTACCCCATTATGCCCATTTGATCCGAGATCTTCCAACAGCTTCCTCCATAGCAACTGAGAATGGCGGTACATCGCCGCTGGGTTCATCTATGGAATTGGATGAAATAAGGAGCAAGAGTCCAGGTTCGGCGTCTGCGGCGGTCAAGGCTTCTTCAACCGTTCCCGCAAACGAACTTGTGCCCGGAGATTTGGTTCTTTTCACTACCGGAGACCGCATTCCTGCCGATATTCGAATTACCGCTGCAACAGATCTCAGCATTGACGAGTCGAACTTAACTGGAGAAAACGAGCCTGTGTCGAAGTATGCGGAAGCTCTGCGCACCGCATCTGGCAGAAACACCCCAGCACCGAAAGGAATAGAGCCCCCTCGATCTCCATTCTACGATGCACCAGCCACGGGTGCTGTTGGTGCTGACATTCGGTTGAACGAGCAGCACAACATCGCGTTCATGGGCACGCTAGTCCGCTCAGGCTATGGCCAGGGCATCGTTATCTCGACCGGCGCCAAGACAGAGTTCGGCAGTATATCAGCTTCGCTACAAGAAATTGAGAGCCCTCGAACACCCCTTCAACTGTCCATGGATCGTTTGGGCCAGGAGCTGAGTTATATCTCTTTCGGTGTCATTGGATTGATCGTGGTTATCGGTCTTATACAAGGCCGGAAGATTCTCGAAATGTTCACAATTGGTGTCTCGCTGGCCGTCGCAGCGATCCCAGAAGGCTTGCCTATCATTGTCACTGTCACACTCGCTCTCGGCGTCCTACGCATGGCTAAGAGGGGGGCGATCATGCGGAGACTTCCCAGTGTTGAGACCCTTGGTTCTGTCAATGTCGTCTGCTCGGATAAGACTGGAACTCTCACGCTTAACCATATGACAGTTACCAAAATGTGGCATTTCGACTGTGCAGAACCATTCGAAGTTCAAAGAGAAATGATCTCGCCGATGGCTCCTGGACCTGCAGCGCAGACTATCCTTCGCGTTGGTAACATTGCAAACAACTCTCGTTTGTCCCGGATGCACGCAAACTCGCCAGCCAGCGCATCTTCTGCGGCTGTACTTTCTTCGACCGTCAACAGTGATTCAGCTGCTGCCAAGAGTCGATGGGTGGGTCAACCCACCGATGTGGCAATCTTGGATCTAATGGATGCCCTGGGAGAGGATGATGTGCGCGATCGTATTAGCGCACGCGTCCACGAGACCCCGTTCAGTTCCGAGCGGAAATGGATGGGTGTTGTAATCGGCGATTCTGGTGGTTCAAATGGAGGTCCCCATGTTGCCTACATCAAAGGTGCTGTCGAACAGGTCCTGGCACGATCGGATACCTATCTCACTAAGGATGGTCGAGAAGTAATCCTAGACGAGCCCCGGCGCAAAACAATTCGGGAAGCGGCAGAAAATATGGCATCCGAGGGTCTTAGAGTCCTCGCATTTGGCAGTGGAGTTGTTCGTGATACGTTTAGAGGTGGCAGAGGCTTTGGAAGTCGGTCTTCCCCGAAAATCGTCCAGGGCGATGATGACGAGCGGTACAATGGCTTGGTCTTTGCTGGCCTAGTGGGTATGAATGACCCGCCGCGTAAAGATGTGCACAAATCTATTCGACGCCTGATGACTGGTGGTGTCAGAATCATCATGATTACTGGTGACGCTGAGACAACAGCTGTGGCCATTGCGAAGAAGCTTGGGATGCCAGTCAGCGATTCCCCGCATGCACGGTCGGTCATTGGAGGCGATGAGCTCGACCGTATGACTGCCGCCGAACTTTCCCAGGCGATTGCAACGGTCTCGATCTTTGCCCGTACGAGCCCGGACCACAAGATGAAGATTGTGACAGCACTTCAGGCCCGCGGCGATGTAGTTGCCATGACTGGTGATGGTGTCAACGATGCGCCCGCTCTGAAGAAAGCCGACATAGGTATTTCCATGGGCAAGCTCGGCACCGACGTTGCCAAGGAGGCAGCGGACATGATTCTGACGGACGACGATTTCTCGACTATCTTGCGGGCAATCGAACAAGGCAAGGGCATCTTCTACAACATTCAGAACTTCATTACGTTCCAGCTTAGTACCAGTGTGGCTGCACTAAGTCTTGTACTGCTGAGCACCACTCTTGGCTTCAAGAATCCGCTGAACGCCATGCAGATCTTGTGGATCAGTAAGTAAATATGTATCTGAATTCAACCCCTCTAAATGTCTAACCCTCATTGCAGATATTCTCATGGATGGCCCGCCTGCCCAGTCCCTAGGCGTCGAGCCCGTCGACCCTACCATCATGAACCGCCCGCCACGGCCCAAGACAGCCCGGGTTCTGACCAAACCTCTAATCCAGCGCGTCCTCACTTCAGCTATGATCATAATGATTGGCACATTGTCGATCTATATCCACGAAATGGGCGATCTCACCGACGTCAGCCCAGTCGAAAAGCGCTCTGGTGTCGTCACTGCGCACGGCACCACCATGACATTCACCTGCTTCGTTTTATTCGACATGTTCAATGCATTGACCTGCCGCAGCGAGGGCAAGTCTGTCCTGCGTGGGGAAATGCCACTGTTTGGGAACAAGATGTTTAATTACGCTGTTCTCGGCTCCTTGGCCGGCCAGGCTTGCGTGATCTACCTGCCCTTCCTGCAGCGTATCTTCCAGACCGAGGCTCTCGGCTTCGGGTCCTTGGTCAAGCTGGTCATCATTGCCAGTTCAGTATTCTGGGTGGATGAAGGCCGCAAGTATCTGCATACGATCCGTCATCGGCGTGGGGTGGGTTCCGGTTATAGCGTCAATGTCTGATCTACCGATACAATGAGTGCACGGTTCGGATTGCCTGTTACGATTTTAGAGGTGTCTATGGCATAGGCGTGTGCAGTTTATCATATTTGGATTGATATCCCCCATATACATAATAGGATTGTCGGTTATTGGCACAAATGTTATTTTTTTCTGCATAATTGGCTGCTTGTGCGGTTTCGTCTAGTCCTTTTTGGTAGTCTTAAGATGCCTTGTGAGATGCGCTCTTTTTTTTTCGTGCGAGAAACATAACATCCTCCGAAGCAGTGATGTATGCCAACTGTACAAATCACAATTTTAGGGCTACTCATTCCCCATAAACCCAAGTTCTGATCTCTAGTAAAACGACCCGCTTTGATAGTCCTATCTAGGAATTCCAGGAATTTAGATAGACGGGTGGTAATAAAATCTCATTCATTTCCCTTGGGTTCTCGTTGACCTGACTGATCTATCTAACTACATAGATACACTGCTCAAACATTCTTCCCATTCCCACGTTTCTAGACCGCAAAGACGAGATCTAGTCATCTCTTTCCCATGCATACTCTTTCGAATAATTGCAATCCTAACCGCCGCGACATCACTAGGGGGAGCGGTATCGACGGTCATTCGCAGCCAAAATTCCCAGATACCGCAAGCCAAGCGCAACTGTGAGCTCCGTATCTTGTGATGTGCCAGCCCGGGTCGATGCTTGGTGGTGCGCGTTGCAAATAAGCGAGTAGAGAATGCCATCTTGAATAGAATGGAAGGGTTGGGAGATGATAGTTCAGAACTGAATCTCTCTGTAGATGGGCAGTTTATATATGTTTGAAGCGGGAAGGCCCTTTCCTAAAGGTTTACATTTTTCTCATTCGAGGACCCAACACTCACGTTGAAGCGCCGTCTTAGCCACCGCCGTAAACTGATCGAGCTAGGAAAAAAAACCCCTTCGAACGGGGATGGATATCATTGGCATCACTAACACAACCAATCCAAAGCGAAACGTTGTGACTAACACACATATCGAAAACGCCTTTGCTAGATGGCTCAGACTATATGAGGTGCACCTAGGAAGAGATGGAGTTGTGATTGCTAGAATCGATCCCATTCTGCCGTGTCCTGCCGCCTCCTTCTTGAAAGGCATCCATCACTCTATCCCCTCCATGTCTTACTGTTTCATTTATCTTCCAGACCTTTCACCTTGGGAGCAACATGTCCATAGAATATGAGGCACCCAATATTGACATTGGTCAAGTGAAATTAGTTGAGGTCATTAAAGAGCCCGCTGGCAAGACAAAGACTGCATGCTCAAAGTGGTAAGTGAGGAAGTCATATAGCTTGCCTATGGCCTTTAACAGATCTGGTAGTTTCCTCCTTATAAATGGGATAGGTGTCACCCACCGCTCCGTTCTATCGATCTTTTCAAGAACGAGAGCCGCGCATATAATCGATTAAAGGCTCGAGGCTTTTGTGAACGGGGATATGTGCCTGAATTCTATGGCGTGGTTGAGAATATTGACCCCGAGGCGAAGGGCTGGCAATCTGACCTCAAGAAATTCTATGATCGAACTTTCCCTCGGGGTCTTGACCCCACCGCCCGTCCGAATGGTGTCCTCATGGAGTATGTTGTATATTCCTGATGTGAAAATGTTCGACATCTCTAACTACACAGAGGAAAGAGCTCGTAAACTCCACCAGCTCCTGATCGAGATTCATGAGGCTGGGATTGTACACCTTGCTCTCTATCCCCGAAATATGCTGATTCAGGGTGATACTGATCGGGTACTTTTGATCGACTACGACTTGGCACAGATATTTGACCCAGAGCACCCAGAGCACCCCAGATTCTTTACGCGGGAAAGAGATTTGATGGATGACTTCGTGGAAGCGCTGGTAATTTCTCAAGTCCCACTTTGATCTCGAGTTCACGGCTGACTTCTGTTGCAATTATAGGGCAGAGATCATAATCTGGAGAAGTATGAAGAGACGCGGACGATGTATTTCGAGTGACTCTCGAGGGGCAGAATTATGGCAGTCAAGGCTCCTATGCCGTTTGATTGATGTCTACTCTGGGGAATTTTTGTTTAGCAGAAAGATCCCACTTTTTTTTTGAATCATCTTGCCGCGGCTGATACCATGCGCAATTTACCTCCAAGTTCCAGAAGATACTCTCTCTTTGATCATTCTCCGATTCCATTTCGCATTACTCGTAGATTAAAATAGCTGGGACTCAATTCCCGGCAAAATATGGCTGTTCAACGAAGCGTAATACACAGAAAAATGAAGTACATCATAGCTGTCCGAAAGCGCGAGTATTTGTTCATTCTATGAGGCGAGGGCTCCCATGAGAATTATCTTTTCTAACCCTTTTCATTCCAGTTTCTTTAAATCCCTCCACAGTTGATTCCTTTACCAACGAAGCCCCAAAAAGATAACTATTGTTGGAACAGTCTAACCTTGTGGGTATCCAAAAAGGATACCAAAAATAATGACCGACGCAGGGATCGAACCTGCAATCTCTTGATTCGTAGTCAAGCGCCTTGCCATTGGGCCAGCCGGCCATGCTGTTATGAAAGGATTTACTTCAAAAATGTACTATATTCAGATGCCTAGGTTGGGAGATTCTAAGCCTTCCATGCGTGCTATCTTGCAAGGTTACGTATGTTGTACCTAACCGGCCCCTGTAATTTTTTGTTAACAATGCAAGGGCCGGTCAGGGCGAATCTCAAGTCTTTTTCTGCCATCTAGTTGGGAAGGGATGCAATTGAAGCCTTATGGAGTGGAAGACAAGAAGAAAGGATTCGAAAGGAGAGACGATGTCGAAAAAAAAAGAACATTCAATGGGACTCAAAAGGGCATGAGCCGCATATACAGCTGACTAATCTGGATTTAAAGTGTTTGTCATGTGGTATCCTTGTACGGAGTAATAGCTAACTGTCCGTAGATAATCAAGCTATATGTTGTACAACATACCACGTACAACATACGGAGTACCCCGAATGTGAAATATATGGAGAATTGTCTCGGCCCAAGTGGAGGCTGAAGACCCCGTGGGAGTGGATCCCGACACTACGGAGTACTGCAGAAGAACTGATAAGGAACAGAAGACGACTTCTACAACGTACATGACAACACGTAAACATGACCATTTTCACCTCGAGTTTGAACATCACATTCCATTCATGTAAAGTACGGAGTAGATAGGGTCAAGACTCCGGCATTAACCCTGGAATTCGAAGAAAAGGGGACCGGGAGAAAACGGAAAGCCAGACACCCCGAAACGGGACCTTATCTCGCACTTGGAGACGCTAAGACAAAAAGGGGAAAGGTCTGAGTATCTTACGGTCAAGGCCCACTTAGCGCCAGTGGCAAGCTGGACTTTATCTGTAGCCAATCATATCTATTACAATATAGCGTCCAATTGCGGATGGGAATTTGGTGAAGCTCTGATATCCATAAAGTCTTCTATAGTACGGAGTAGCTGCAGGATATCTATGATAAGCTATCTAGGCTATCTAGGCTATCTAGGCTATCTAGGCTATCTAGGCTATCTAGGCTATCTTCGAAGCTTTTTGGAAAAAGATATAAGAAGACCCATGTCCGAGGGTACTTCCCCGAAAAACCCCAGGAATTTTTCCCCGGAGTCAAATCACCAGTACGGAGTACAACATTCATTGGATCACAATCTACGGAGTACTCCGGAGGATATGTAATCTCCCAAGCAGGTATATCCCTCAATCCCTCAATCCCTCAAAGGCCAAGACTTGAAAACCCACGAAACCCCCATACTTGTCATCCCCTTGCCACCTGATGCTATCTACGGGGATGACGGGGTATACATAGCAAGTGTGTTAATCGATACAGAAAATCAAATGCAACTCTTTTTTTTTAAATATACACCAAGATTCAAGACCCAAGACCCAGAACCTGGAGAACTGGAGACCTAAAAGAGAGGATGTCGGGATTATCCCATTGCTATTGTCACAATCTATCCTCGACAATCTTTTTTTTTTTTTTTTTAATTTCCCCTTCATCCAACCGCTCCTTCTCATACCTTTTATATGGGGAAACTGTCTCATGCTCCCTTTATAACCTTTCTCTGTTAGAGAGTGCTTAAAAGTTTTTTTTTCTAGAAATTGCGTTGAACTGCTTTTGGCTATTTCAGACAAGGATCCACCGGTGTCGATCTAGTGGTTTTTTTTCTTTGGCTCGAAGAGTTCGGGTTTCCTTATTTTTCTATTTTCGTGGCGAATTCTTCTCTTTTCCTTTCTGACCTTCTTTTTCCCCTTTCCCTTTGCTAAACCCCCTTTCCCTTCAAGCTTCGAGCTCTTTCAACAATGGCGTTCAGCGGGAAAGCCCCATACGCCCCGGATTATGCCTCCTACAATTGGATTGGAGCTCCTTCCAACTACGATCTTTCGACCAATAGAGACCTGGGTGGCGATTCCCGTATGTGTTCCGATTTTCTCAAGGGAATCACAGTCTAACAATGGTTCCCACTTAGGCACCGAGAATGTGAACAAATGGTTTCAATCTGGCGACCAGGCCTACATCCTCGTGGCCTCGGCCATGGTCATGATCATGATCCCCGGTCTCGCCTTTCTGTACTCAGGATTGGCTCGTCGAAAGTCCGCCCTGAGTATGATCTGGGCTTGTATGGCTTCCCTGTCCGTCGTGACCTTCCAGTGGTATTTCTGGGGTTATTCGCTGGCTTTCTCCCCGACTGCGACCAACGGTTATATTGGCAACTTGCGCAACTTTGGTTTAATGAAGACATTGGCTGATCCAAGCCCCGGGTCTCCCCTGGTTCCTAACCTGCTCTATGCGTTCTATCAGGTAAGATGAAAAAAACAAAAAAAACAAAAATTGGGAATCACCGGGTTTTTTTTCAATTGGTCTAGAAGTCAATGCTGATTATCAATCCCTAGATGCAATTCTGTGGTGTGACTGCAGCTATCGTGATGGGAGCTGTCGCCGAACGCGGTCGGCTTCTTCCTGCCATGGTTTTCGTCTTCATCTGGGCTACAATTGTTTACTGCCCGCTTGCCTACTGGGCCTGGAACGTCAATGGCTGGGCATTCAAGTATGGCGTGATGGATTACGCCGGTGGTGGTCCCGTTGAAATCGGGTCCGGTTTCACAGCTCTGGCCTACTCGATGGTTCTCGGTCGCCGACAGGAACGCATGATGCTTAACTTCCGCCCTCACAACGTCTCTCTCATTCTTCTTGGGACAATTCTTCTCTGGTTCGGCTGGCTCGGTTTCAACGGTGGTTCCGCGTTTGGAGCTAACCTCCGCGCATCCATGGCCTCCTGGAACACCAACCTGACTGGTGCATTCGGCGCCATCACTTGGGTTTTGCTCGATTGGCGTCTGGCTCGCAAGTGGTCGATGGTCGGTTGGTGTTCCGGTACCATCTCGGGCCTGGTAGCTGCAACACCTGCCTCCGGATTTATCTCACCCTGGGCCAGCGTTATCCTCGGCATTGTGACTGGTATCGTCTGCAATTACTCCACCAAGATCAAGTACTGGATCCGGATCGACGACTCGATGGATGTGTTGGCCGAGCACGGCATTGCTGGAGTTGTCGGCCTTCTTTTCAACGCCTTTTTCGGCGACGACGCCATTGTTGGTCTCGATGGTGTCAACACCGGCACCGGTGTCGGCGGCTGGGTCATCCACAACTATAAGCAGCTGTACATTCAGGTCGCCTATATTGTCGCAACCGCCTCCTACTCCTTCGTCATGTCCGCCATTATCGCCTACGCAATTAACCTCGTCCCCGGCCTGAAACTGCGCGCCTCTGAAGAAGCGGAGCTGCTCGGGATGGACGACGACCAGCTGGGCGAGTTCGCCTACGACTACGTCGAAGTCCGTCGTGATTATCTCGCCTGGACCCCTCAGAACCACGACCAGCTTGCAGACGGCCACCAGGTCCCCGCTGCACAGCGTTACGGCATCGGTGAACACAGCGAGATGATGCTTGGTAGCTCGCCGCGCGAGGTGATGCTTGAGGGTCACTCGCCCAATGGTGAGATCAGCCAGAGCAGCCGCGGCGGCAGTGAAGGTGACATCGGCATGCACGAAATCAAGATCGCTCCTGCTCCTCGCCAGGCTGCTGAGCAGCATCCCGCCGAGGCACAGAGTGCTGAGCCCGTTGTGTTGAGGCCGGTTCAAGAGAAGACGGAGAACTAATCACTTCTACATTCTCCTGCTCCCCCCTCTCCCCCCCCCCCTTTTTTTTTGAAAAAAAAACTACCTGCCCTCCATCTCTTTTGCATGACCTTCATTTCGCATACGCCATTCCATCCAGCAAGCTTTGATTTTCTTCGCGTTTTCGCTTCTTTGCCTCGATATCCCTTGAGCGTGCTTCTTTTTTTTGCAACAAAAAAAGCCTGGGGCTTTTGCAATACCTTTAACCTACCCCTTCGACTTTCCTCGATCACCTCAACCACTAATTCTATACCACCGACTTCACATAATGTCCAACATCCGACCCTCCCTTATCCACCTTTCCGACCCTTACGCTACCAAACACACCTCACATTCAAACAAAACTACACCTGTGGAAAAAGAAACTTGACTTATGGTCTAATTTGGCCTGACGCTCCATTGTTCTATGATTTTTCTGGCCTGTGGTCCGGAGATATGAAACTGGGGTTTGCACATGTACACAAACTGATTCATGCGTCATGAGAGAAATGCCTCACTCTCTATGTTTTCTGGTTTTGCGTTTGCAGTATAGAGCTAGACACCTGATTTACAAATTTATGTGATAATTAAGACAGCTCTTATCCTTACTCACCTCTACAACTGTAGATGGTAGAGATGCGAGAACAAATGTCCTTGTCTGATACGAGAGTCTACCTGCGATATAAGAAACCCCAAGCCACCAAACATAAAACCCAAATCAGAAAGAAACCAGCCCAATAACAAAACAAGTCACAATCAAATCTATCCATTGCCTCTCCTCCTACCGCTTAACCATCCACCGAACCCGAATCAAATCCTCTCTCCCAAGCTTCCCAACAACCTCCGCGGCAACTCCACCCTTTCGAACTTCATCCCACTCCTCCTCATCCATCCCCATAACAAGCGTCATCTGCACACACCGCGCAAAACACTCCCGGTATTTATATCTTCCCGGCGCGCCGGAAACATGCCCAACATCAACAGCAGCACCGACAAGTCCAGCAACATCCCTCTCAAGCCGCGCCGCGCCAAGCGCGTTGATCCGCGCCCCGTACGACCACAGTCTTTTTTCTAGTAGACGGGCTAGATACGCGATCGTTACGCCGAGGACGCGGTCAAAGGCCGAGGGGGTGAGGATCCGTGCGAATGGAGTTAATAGATCGGTCCATAAGGATGTGAAGCGCGGTTTGACAAGTTCTTTGTTGTCAATGGCCGAGTTTGGATTGTCGGGTTCGAGGGTGTTGGTGTTGGGGGCATATTCGATATCCCGGAAGGTGTCTGCGAGGAGAGGTCGGAGGCGTGGTTTAAGGACGTTGTTGAAGAGTACTTGGACTCCGTCCATGAGAAGGTCAGTTGCTTTGCTTTCGAAGGTTGTTGAGAGGTTTTGGAGGGTCTGGAGCACATTTTGGGCGGTGCTGGGGTTGGCGAAGATTGTGAGGAGGTGGGAGGTTGCTTCCGTGGTCGTGGTATCTGGTTTTGAGCCCGTATTATTTTGCACGATTCGTCGGATGTAGTCGACTCCCAGGTCGAGGTTGTTGATTTGAACTAGGAAGGAGATTGTGATTTGTTCGGCGGGTGGGCCGCCGTGGACTGGGGCGCGTGGGTAGCACTCGTCGCGCATCTTGCGCTGTGTCATGCCGATGAAATCGGAGCCTAGGACGCGGGAGAGCGTTGGGACTACGTTTGTCACGACGGCTTCTTGGGAGGTTGCGAGTGACTGCTGGATGACTTTGTTGACGATGTACATTATGTCGTCGATGGCTGAGGTAATGTGTGGTGGGTCGGCTTTCAGTGGACGATGGGGGCTCAGCGTGAGGCCTGATGGGGACTCGTCTAGTTGGAAAGCTTTCTCGACGGAGCGGCGGAAGAAGAAGGTTGTCATTGCGTTGAAGGGGGCCACCAGGCGATCATTGATCTTTTGGGCCAGAGATGATTCTTGCAGGAAGGTGGGAGGCTCGAGTCGCTTATCGTCGTCTGCATTTTCATCACCCGAAGGCTAGAGAAGTTGTTAGTGCTGGTACTATAGAGGCGGAGATTGCAACTCACATTACATGTATCAGCCAGGAACCGACAGTACAGCGACCACCGGCCCAACATGATAGCCATTTCGTTCAAGACACCATCGATCTCTTTCATGTCCACCCCCTCCTCGTCGGTAGCGGTGCTCGCCCCAGCGGCAGGGGATAGTGAGCGAGGCGGACCTGCTCGCTGCGCCGGAAGGAAACTCTGCACCAGGAAGGTGAAAGCATAGGATTTAATATCCATCAATTTGCGATCCACTTGTCGCTCATCACTCCAAGTATCAAGAATAATACCACCCTGTACATCGGCCTCGACTTGTAGTCGTTCAATGACCCGTCCCATCTTCCGGGGGCCATAGTGGTGCTCAACAAGCCCACCATGGCTATCAATAATCTGCGCAATGTGCTCAAACAGCTTGGTAAGCGCATTGGCATAGAAGAAACCATCCTTAGCCGGAGCACCTCCGGAAGCCCCGTTGATGTTAGCCCGAGCCTTGGCCGCGACACCCTGGCACACATAACGACCATAAACATCGAGTCCGACCTCAGAGCGGCCAATAAGCGGGAAAAGTTTGAAGAAGCGCGTGATCTTGGCCCCATCATTCTCTTTAACCGCCTTCTCAAACTCGCGCAGGAACAGCCCGCACAGCGACTCCGCCGCGTTGTCCAGGGTCACACTTGGCGGGTCCGGAACTTCAGCCGTAGGAACCATCTCTGCAGCAAACGCGCCATGGACGACCGAAGCCGGGATCTGAGCGGCGCGGTGTAGATAGCTAGCGGCTTTCTCCCAGTCCTGGGGCGCACCCATCGATCCCGCCACGCCCAACGCACAGGCCTTAAGCTCGGCCACCTGCTCAACAACCTCAAGCGTGGCTTTCACCCGCGCCTGCTCGAGATCCAGCCGGCGGACCGCACTGGAGATCCGATCGGCGGTGCCGGCAGCTTCGGAGAGCATTCCATGGCTGATGGAGCGAGTTGTGCTGAGGTGACTCCCGATGTTGGCGCGCATCAGGTCCAGTCGACCTAGCTCACGGGAGAGGTCTTTCTGGGAAGTTACCAGGGCATCGAGGCGGGCGGTCACAGACGCTTCTTGGGAGTGTAGGTGGGACAGCGTGGCTTTGATCTCGGCGACGGAGCTGGCGTTGAAGATGTCGGGCTGTGGGGGAGGAGATGTCTCTGCAGGCGAGGCAGAGGTACCCGTAGGGCTTTGGGGCATGGCATTACGCCTATTAGCGGTTGCAGCCATTCTGGGCGCCATTGGTTGTCCCAAGTTGGGTTGTTGATGCTGCGCCAGTCGTAGGGGGGTTTTGGGGGCGGTGAGGGTGGGTTTAACAGCTTCAAGCTTGAATTTACTATGCTTCGTCAAGACTGACGGGGTTTGAAAGTCCAAATTATTAAAACACTTAAAATTTGCTATACGTGTCTTTCGTTTCCCCACCCCCCCCTTTTGTGCACTGTCAGTCGCTTTTATCTGGCGCGTCTTAAATGAGGTTGTGAATCAGCCCGACGTCATTTCCCCCACGCTCGCGATCCCATAGCAGTTGCTCTTTTTCGGTTTTCGGTTTTTTTTTTTTTTGGTTTCTGTTTCCCTTCTCTCTGCCGCTCTTTTTAAAAATTTTTGATCTACAAGTTTCAGGACTTGCCTTTTCTCTGTCAAGCCCTCAACCGCCATCATCGGACGTCGCAAACCCAGCCGTCCAAACCGACGCGCCATGGGTAACGAATCGTCGACTGAGGTGGATGAATTCACGTCCCCCACGGCACTTGAGGCGCGTACCATCGAGGCGGTGGCCAAATACGTTAAAACGCACAATGTGAAGAAAGTTGTGGTGATGGTATGCAGGACGAATCCCCATGAAATAGTGCATCAAAGCTCACCAAATGCAGGTGGGAGCGGGCATCAGCACTTCAGCAGGCATCCCAGACTTTCGTTCACCTGACACGGGAATCTACGCCAACCTGGCCAATCTAGATCTACCAGAGCCCGAGGCAGTCTTCGACATTGGTTTCTTCCGACATAATCCTAAACCTTTTTATGCGCTGGCGCACGAGCTGTACCCTGGACGCTACCGCCCGACCATTGTGCACTCTTTCATCAAACTACTTTACGACAAAGGGATGCTACTGAAGCATTTTACTCAAAATATTGACTGCCTTGAGCGCCAGGCAGGCGTGCCAGGCGAGAAGATTATCGAAGCCCATGGCAGTTTTGCGTCACAGCGTTGCATTGAATGCAAGGAGATCTTCCCAGACGAGGAGATGCACCAGATGGTATTCAAGGCCGAAGTACCCCACTGCCACAAGTGCAACGGTCTGGTCAAGCCAGACATTGTGTTCTTTGGTGAAGCTTTGCCATCTGAGTTCTTTGATAGCCGTTTTCTCCCCGAAGAGGCCGATCTCTGCATTATTATGGGAACTAGTCTGTCCGTTCAGCCATTTGCCAGTCTGCCTTCGATGGTTAGTCCAGGTGTACCTCGTGTGCTCATCAACATGGAGCGTGTCGGTGGGCTTGGATCACGGAGTGATGATGTGTTGGTGATTGGGGACTGTGATGCTGGAGTACGCAAGTTTGCAAAGGCTCTGGGATGGGAAGAGGAATTGGAGGTGCTGTGGGAGGAAACCAACCCAGACCCGCAGAAAAGGGCGGAGGAGAATGCCCCGCTAAAGACGCGAGATGAACGGCTGCAAGACGAAGTGGACCGACTAACGGAGGAGGTCGATCGAACTCTGGGGTTGACCGATGCGTATCAGAATAAAGTACGTGAAAAGCTGGCACACGAGGCACACCGCCAATCTGGGGGTCTGGATCATGTTTTCCCCCATTTGACGCGTCAGCTGTCATAATGAGATTATGAGTTTTTCATTGAAATGTCTTTCATAGGCAGAAATAGGAGAGATGTTCTTTTACGATGCACAGGGCGAAGATACACATAAGCACAACGTAGACAGTCAACATGCCAAGACACGATCTCGTCGATCACAACGTTTGCAGCCAAGACACACCTGATTTCTGGGACTCTCTAGTTTCCTCCGGTTGATCTCAGACTATTTATAATCTATGAGCATATTTATAGTCCAAATGTCTAGGCATTACGGAGGATTAAACGAAAATTCCCCCTTGTCAGCCCACCTTCGCCCCAATTGACTTTCTCGTTTCTCTCCGACAGTCCAAAACAAGACATCTATAATTGCCCCACGTTTATTTTTCACGTCATTCTCCCCCTCCCACCTTTTTCTTCTCTTATTTTTCTCCCAGCAACTTCATATTCATCATGGTTGGACTTGGCCCCAAGCACCCGCAGTCCCGGAAGGGTGAGGCTCTTCAAGCTATCCCTGCCTTTTATTGTCAAACTGACCAAGTGGTACAGGGTCTATGCACGAACTGCCCCAGAACTTGTTGGGGTGTATTCAGGATTTCGAGAAGGCTTTCACTGTCGATCGCTCCAAGCTCAAGGAGATTGTGAACCACTTTGTCAAGGAGCTCGAGAAAGGTGAGACCACTCATCCGCAGCGCGCCGATTCTACGTGCTAACCCCAAAATAGGCCTGAGCGTCGAGGGTGGCAACATTGTGAGAACGACACAATTCCCCGATCCCAACATCGACTGACTCTAGCAAATAGCCCATGAATGTCACCTGGGTCCTGGACTTCCCCGATGGACACGAGCGTGGAACCTACCTGGCCCTCGATATGGGTGGCACGAACCTACGCGTCTGCGAAATTACCTTGACCGAGGAGAAGGGCGCTTTCGATATCACACAATCCAAGTATAAGATGCCCGAGGAGCTCCGCACTGGAACTGCCGAGGAACTGTGGGAGTACATCGCCGACTGCTTGCAGCAGTTCGTTGAGACCCACCACGCGGGAGAGAACCTCGCCAAGCTGCCTCTCGGTTTCACTTTCTCCTACCCCGCCACTCAGGAGTACATCGATCACGGTATCCTGCAGCGTTGGACCAAGGGCTTCGACATTGACGGCGTTGAGGGTAAGGATGTGGTTCCCCCTCTGGAGGAGGTCCTGAAGAAGCGGGTATGTTTATCTTTCGAGAGCCTGCTCCCCTACCGATAGAGGTTCAAAAGACTCACACAAGGCTACAGGGTCTTCCCATTAAAGTCGCAGCACTTATTAACGACACCACCGGTACCCTCATCGCTTCCGCCTATACCGACACCGCCATGAAGATTGGTTGCATCTTCGGTACCGGCGTTAACGCCGCATACATGGACAACGCAGGCTCCATACCCAAGCTTGCCCACATGAACCTGCCCGCCGACATGCCCGTTGCCATCAACTGCGAGTACGGAGCCTTCGACAATGAGCACGTGGTCCTCCCCCTCACCAAGTACGATGACATCATCGACCGCGACTCCCCCCGCCCCGGCCAGCAAGCCTTTGAGAAGATGACCGCCGGTCTGTATCTCGGCGAGATCTTCCGTCTCGCACTGATTGACCTGATCGACAACCGCCCCGGTCTGATCTTCAATGGCCAGGACGTCTCCAAGCTACGCAAGCCCTACCTGCTCGATGCCTCGTTCCTCGCTCACATCGAAGACGACCCCTATGAGAACCTGACAGAGACCTTGGATCTCTTCGAAAGCAAGCTGAGCATCCGCCCCACCCAGCCGGAGCTGGAGCTCGTCCGTCGTCTCGCCGAGCTGATCGGTACCCGTGCCGCTCGTCTTTCCTCCTGCGGAGTCGCCGCCATCTGCATTAAGAAGAACATCGAGTCCTGCCACGTCGGTGCTGATGGTTCCGTCTTCACCAAGTACCCTCTCTTCAAGGAGCGTGGTGCCCAGGCCCTGCGTGAGATCCTCGACTGGGCCCCTACCGAGAAGGACAAGGTCTCCATCTTGGCTGCCGAGGATGGCTCCGGTGTTGGTGCTGCCCTGATTGCCGCTCTGACGCTCAAGCGTGTGAAGGCTGGTAACCTGATTGGTATCCGCAACATGGATGACATGAAGACTCTACTTTGAGTGGGATTGGTTTTGTCGTGGAGATGGTGACTATTACTATTATCTGATCCATGACGAAACAAATCCTTACCGATGGGGTAGAGTATATCTTTTTTACCTTGTGGTTTATGCATCTAGTTCCGGAGGGGGGTGGATTGATAAAAGATTTTAACGATATATCGATTCTGTGTCTGTTAGCCTTGGAAGGCTTGTGAATAGAATATCCACAGTGCTATTGTTCCCTTTGTAACTACATTTTGTAGCCAGTATTACATGTTATCAATCATTCATTGCCTTCCATTCCCACTGATATAAAAACAGGCACCAGGATGTGTGATTGCAGCATAAAAAGGAATATCCTTGTCCCGATCTGCACTGTCATATATGCCACCGTTCTTTCGTTGGTTTCCAATGTTGCTCGAGGCCTCACTTTCCACTTAAGTTCATAAGTTAGTTTCCATCGGCCTCAATAGGCCCTTATTTGACATCGCTGATCTATTATCAGATGGAACTACGCGGGTCAGTCAGATAAGCTATGTGGGAAATCCCTGGCAGTGGACATACGCTGCATAAATCTAGGTAGAATATGTATCTACTAATGAGATTAACGATGGGTGTACACAAGCTACTGTAACTAATATATAGATAGCCCAGAAAGAAGATATAAATGTTCATAAGAGAGGGCTTAGATGTAACTGGAAATCTGTCATGCGTGGAGAGAGAAAAACCATCTATAGGTACTAGCTAGACTAAAGTACTAGGAATAAACATATAACTTCTAACACCCCCCACGACTAGTATGTAGTCGTCCTATATAGAAAAAGACCCTTCTTCTCTATTAAAAACCAGTTTAAAATGCAAAATAATTCCCTACTTTTTTTATATATTATAAAGAAAGGTATACTGTTTACAGGCGTAACACCTATTAACCAGGTAAGATATAATGGAGAGAAGAGGAACTATATTGTCTCAAATGTGCTAAGACTAATTCTTACTGGAATTAAGAGGAATCCCGGGGGATCC